CCGTCAGCGCAAAGGCTACCGTCCTTCTAGAAGCGTTGATCTCTGCGCGCCTGGACGTGGAGCCCCACCGCACTATGCCTCGTATGAGGTCTGGCGGCTGTTCGATAATTAGTAGAAAGCGTTCGGTTTCCAACTTGGGCCCCCTCATGACACTGCGCGACAACAGAGATTTTGCTGTTTTCCCTGCCAGCGCCTGCTGAAGCACGCAATTGACTACCGCCGCCGCCGCTAGCTGTGTCACCCTCTGCTGGTCAGTTGCCCATTCATTGCCCGTTGCCTGGGGGTAGGATCAGTCCAAGGTACGGTATAGCCGTTGAGCCCTGTGACCGTCCGGGCCCAGCCAATCGCCGCTAGGCGAATGCGCCACTCGCCGACACAAGGTATGCCATTCCCACTGCCAAATGCGACAATGGACCGCCTGTGCTGCCTCTGCCCGCAGGCAATGCCTCCCACTTACACTGACACTGACACTACCCAGGTGCAGACGATCCAGTGTCGCCAAAGCCTGCTACACGCTCAAGGCTGCAAATCCTGCCCACCGCACGCCCAAAGCGGAATCTCCCGGCCGATCAGAAGACTCCCTCGTCCACCGCCCAGTCCATGCTTCTTCAATCCGACCCGAGCCTGGCCGAGGTTCCAGGCTTCACCAGAGAGCAATTGGACGCCCTCGCCCGCAGCGTCGAGCTCAGAAGGCAGCAGCTGCAGCAAGACATCAACGACTACATCAAGTCCAAGCAGGACGAACTGCGCGACTATGGCCACCAGGTATGTACTTGACTACTACTAATACCATCACTACGCCTTTCTTTGCCTTTGCCTTTGCCTTTCCTTTTTCCCTTTCCCCCGGCGGCCTTTGCACTGTTTCGTGCCCTGTCCATGTTTGTCAGAGTGCTGTTGAGGACTGATTCCGGCCTAGCTTGTAGACCAGTACCGCTCAATGCAATGCCCTCAGCAATTAAGTTCTGCCCAGAAAACTTGTGCGAGTAATGCTGAGGACACTGCTCCCTCACCAGCACCGCAGGAGCCCTCTGCGCACTCGCCGCCCCACGCAAAGGCGCCCGAGCCCGAGGAAAGAATCAAGCAGAAGAAGCACACAAAGGTGCACAAGAGAGAGCAAGAGCTCTACGGTTTAGTCACGCCTGTCTTTCTGCCACTGCTCGACGCTCGCGACAGTTCGCCCGAGAAAAGAAAGAGACCGACGCCAAAGCCCGACACTGCGTACGGCGCAGACAGTGTAGCAGGCACGCCCGTGACAGGAGTGTCAAGAGATGCTGAGCAGAGCAAAGAAGGCCGGAAGCAGAGCAAGGACAACAAGGACATGGAGAACCCAGCCTTGGGCGTGCTGACGAGAGAGAAGCAGCCAGTCGAAGCAGCCAAGAAGTCCAAACGCTCGACAATGAAGAAGTCGGCGCTGCGACACAAAGACAAGGCCAAAACACCGCGCAAAAGAGTCAGTCTTGTCATTGATGGCCAGACTGTCCATCCCTCGGACACTGTCGACGAGCCATTGCTCACCTCGCCCAGCAGCGAAACAACGTCAGCCTCCAATTCCATTGCCTCGCTCGATGACATGATTGATCCGCGCCTTACATCGGAGAACCCGGTTTACATTGAGCACCATGATGCCGTACATCACAGCCTCCCCCTTCCAATGGCCAACGCCATCCGGTCCGCCAACAAGGCCTTGACCGAGTCTCAGACACCAACACCCGTATCCATTGCAACCGAGCATTCACCACCCCTTCATTCACCACGCTCACCCAGCATACCCTTTGGGTCCGCACAAACCGCATCGCGCACATTTCTCGACCCTTCGCCTGCCCAACCGCCCCACCCAATCCCCAAAACCACTGGTTCCAATACAATCTTCCCCAACTCGCCAGTCGCTACCACGGATCTCGAAAGCGATGGCCTCGCAGACCAAGACCAAGATTTCGACACCTACGTCGGCGGTCTGCACGGCTCGGGCGTCGCTGATGTGGACCAAGCAGGTAGCTACGGTTACCCGAGCAGCCTCGGCGCAAGCTACATGGAAAGCTACATGCAGAACCGCCCATTGCGCGTGCGCATGGAAGCAGCGAGTAAAGCGGGTCTCAGTGAAGCGGAGAAAAGGAAGCTGCTAGAGGAACGTGTCGAAGAAGAGGAAGATGAGCATGGAGATCATCACGCCGACGATGAAGACGATATTGACGACGATGACGATGAAGAAATGATTGAGCGTGGTGATGTCCAGCATGCGAGATACCGTGGCCGCGATACCGGCGATGTGGATAGCTTCATGGGTGATATGGACGACTTTTGACATGTGACAACTCTCACTTGGCATTAACTCCCCTACCACTATCTCTTTTTTCCTTACTCTCCGGTTTAAAGTTTTTAAGGGGGGGGGGCTTACGACTGACCCACTGGGGACCTCGGCGGCCGGTTCCTCGATTGAATGTTTGTCTCAGACATGTGCCTGCAGACGGGCATTACATGGGAAAGTTGGGCACATGTGAAGGAGAGGTGATAGGGAAACTGGCTTGTATCTTTTTTTAGGGAATCTTCAAGGGCTAGCGTGATGATAGGACTAGCAGCTATGGATATGGGTTGTTTTTTTGTACATATGGGCGGCTTTTTTGTGTTTTTGATTTTGAACTTGTTTTTTTAAACGGGAAGGGAACTTTTGTATAGTAGATGATGTTGTTCAAGCAAATATACGTATATATGTCTATGATGGAAACACATGAAATTTGCCTCCTTCCATATATGGGACTCTGTTTCCTACTTCTTCCTTCTCTTCTGATATATTACGTATGTACACTTATTACATCGATACCTAACGTTCAAGTTTTCATTGATCAGATCTTTCAATCTCGATTGCTCACCTGCTGCACACGATTCACCACTCTATCCAGCAAACTCACCATTTCGTCGCTGACAAAACGCGGGTCGTCTCTTTGGATAAAGTGGCCGCAGCGGACCGCGGTAATGGGGCCAATAGCCTTGCCTTCCTCGGTAATGTGGCACAGCTCCTCGTTGTAGCGGCGCCATGCGGGGTTCGCATAAGTCATTGTGAGGGCTTTAGGAACGTTGAGGGGAGGGTTGGCTGTCATGGGTTGAAGATTAGCCTTTATAACAGATGTATGATTGGAGTGATGGAAAAACATACAAGACTGCTCAGCAAACGTCTCCCAATCATGACCCACAACCGTCAAATAAGGGCCTCGACCCAGATACCCTTCTAGCTTCGGGGCCCCAGCATCCGGCAGCAGTTTAGCCAGGTTCCTGCGTGAAAGCCCCTCAGGACTCGGTACATCCGGGTGCAACATGCTCCTGTACTTTTCCCTCACAGCGCGGACCTGGTCGGCCGTTACATCGTCGGGCAGTATGTGGGGATCAAAGTCTGGAGCATCTGGGTCGGGCCAGAACGCCTGGTAGTCGGAATTTGCCATTATGCTGTCGAGAAAGAGGAGGCCGGAGACGGTTCCTGGGTAGCATTGGGCGAACAGGCGAGCGAGGGCGCAGCCTAGGCTGTTGCAGACAAAGATTAGACAGGGGTAGTGGGTTGGCTTGTTGATATCGAGGTGTTCACGCCAGATTTGTAGGGTAAATTGCTTGAGAGCTTTGACGGCCGAGATGGCGTCATGACCGTGTGAGGGCGGGGGGTGAGGGTCGTCGGGGTCTGGGTCAGACTCCCCTTGTCCGTATCGATCGTAGCTTAGTAGCCCTGGATATGGTAGTCGCCCTGTGATTCGTTTTTCGAGGAAGCTGCGTATTGCAGCGTCCCACGAGCTTCGTGGCATCATGGCCCCGTTGAGGAAGACGATGAGCGTCTGGGAAAATGGGTTGGGGTTGTTACCCTGCGATTTCGAGGCAGGGTAATATGTGTAATGTATCTGTGCGCCAGGTTTAGTGTCTAGGGCCAGTGAAGATACCTCCGGCTCCGGGAATGGGGCAAGGTCATCATCTTCAGTGTTCTCCCCGGGAAAGGGTATTGGGTAGCTGCGGGCGCTCATGGCGCTGTGTCTCCTTGCCGTGTTGAGAGGGTCCGCTTGCGACAAGTTGGTTCCCGGGGAATTTGCCTGGCTCAAGAAGGTGACGCTGGCCTTGGTGCTGTCACGTCCTTTTTCCGCGGCGGCATTTCTATCTCTTTCTTGCTTGGATAGGCCAGCATATTTGAGATGTGGTGGGATATATGGGAAAGCATCCATGACTGGTCCTAGCTGGCGCTGCTGGGAATGATAACGATGGTCAACACATGCGTGGGTGTGGCTAGTCCTCCGGATTGGGAAAGCGCACGATCTGGGGCAGCTGGAGAAGCGGAAGATGTCGGAAAGTAAAACTGCCGTACCCAAGCAGGCTGCCTGGAGATGTTTGAAACCGGGGTAGGCAAAGCAGCTGGCTGCGTTCTAGACGTCTACCTTTGGGCTGTGATATTTTTTTTCAAGAAGAAGGGTTACCCCTCTTCAGCCCCGCGATCGGGAACGGATGGATGGCAGGTTTTGGGACTTGGGCCTCTTGATGACGAAGTGCCAATACCGTCTCACGTGCAGGAGTCTAAGTACTATTATCGTGCCGCCAAGGACTGGTGATTCCAAAGCCGGAGCGGTCTCGAGTTGCTGGGGGCCGGGGGAATCTGGGAGGGGAGAGGCTGCGAGGTTGGGCCGGGCATGATGATATCGGGGGGCCCAGCTCAGCCAAGAAGGGCCTCATGATGATTGACGGGCTAGTGGGTGGATTGCACCAGCTCGCAAGCCACGTTTGGGGGGGGAGTGTTTGGCAGATGCGAATGCAGATGCAGGAAACATGCAGCAGCAGCAGGACAAAGCCGGGCCCTGGGGATGGGGGAGTTGGGGGGGAAGAAGTGGGAGGGAGGGGGATGCAAATGCACGCCGCAGCCGCAGTCGTGGTTGCTGGGGCGGGCGATGCACCACACACGATGCACCACGCAGCGCCAGGCACGAGCGCGGCTATGACGTGTGACATGGGTCGCTGCTGGATGCACGTCGCGATGCAACCACACGCCTGCGTTTCGCTTTGGGGCACACTTGATCCACCCACCACACCACGCTTACTCGTGCCCGTTTTTGAATTTAATTAAGCCAGAGCAGGACACCCTCAGCCTCGACTGCAGCCATTCCTCCTCTGCTCTTGCCAACACTACATATCTGCATATCTGCATATTCCACCGGCCACCACGCACGTCACGTACGCCTAGGTTGGTCACTAAACCCTCTAGAAGATGCAGAAGCCAACTAACCGCCTTCTAGCGCTACGGTAACCTCATCATGACATACACCCATGCAGAAACCCAGACCGTATGGGCGGGCCTCACCAAGATGGATATTCGTCCTGACCTTCTCTTCACTGCCCCCAACACCACAACTCCTCCCGCCGAGCTTATTCCAGACAAGCAACACGACATGGCCGCCATTACAGCTCCTACCTCACTCGGCCCCGTCGATGCCCACGCTACATCCTTCGGAGGATTGCTCCAAAAGCGGCAGAAACGCCCAGAGCTCCCAACACGCATCTCTCTGCCCAACTCGGAGCTAGATGACGAGGTCCTGCCCTCCCCGCCGCCCACACACGCTATCCTCTCCCCACTACCCGAGGCCAACAAGCTGCATGCCGGCCACACTCCACTGATCCCCCGCGCCCTCTCCCCCGTCCACCACGACCAAGAGCCCGCCGCCCCTGAAGAAGAAGCGCCTGCTGCAGAGTACTACGAGCCGGAGCCAAGCATGCTAGCAGACGACCAGCCCCTCATCGGGCCTCTCATGCTGCCCACGAACCCCGTAGAAGGTGCAAGTGATCACATTGCACTCGATGTGCTAGATGACGTGCTTGAGAAGGTGGCAAAAGACCAGGACAGATTCAGCAGGCTCAAGGATGCACCAGAGCCCGAGGTTGTACAACCAGATCCTCCCGCTGCACCACCTGCAGTAGATGCAGACCCGGGCCTGCCACTAAGCCGAAACACGTCGTCCGACTCGCGCAAGTCGAGTAATAGCACAGAAGTCGTCGACGGCGTCAGACTGAAGACTCCACCACTGAATTTTGGAGTCCCTATAGGACAAGTATAGTCCATTGTTGCCCAACAGTATCATCAACATCTCAAGACATATCATTTTCCAACGAGTTTCGCTTGTTTCATTCGCATTTTGACATTTTGGAATTTACAACGTGGGAACGGGATATCATGGCACAAATTGGGTTGGGGAGGGGGTGGGCGTTATGAATAAAAACAAAACAAAAGAAGATGCCACACTTCTGGAGAAGAAGAAGAGGAAGAAGAAGAAGGCGGCGGAAGAGAGAAAGAAAAAAAAGATGCGATACCCAAAAATTTATTTCCATGTATGCCTACTAGAGGCACCGCCATCATAACCAGAGCCCATCGCAAAAGGCTACATAGACTTACCAGCCTTAGCGCTATGCAAAGTGACAACAATAGAATTCCAAGCCATGATTTAGTCTCAAAAGAACCCTCTTTTCCCCCCACTATCAACCTGCGTCACACAATGGCATGGTGGAAACGGGGTGGGGACTAAAACACATCCATTTCAATGCTTTGATGGCGTCTAGCCCTGGTCATTATACACATGCTATTCGTCACACCAATTCTTTTTTCTAGTCATCCTGGTCCCAGTTGCCCTGTTGTGCCTTGCCTGGCATCTTGGGCCCACCAGCCTGCTTGGCCACGATGATCTGATCCACGCTCAACACCGTCCTTGCTGCCTCCGTCGCCAGCTTAATGGCCCACATCTTGCTGACCCACAGGTCCAGAATGCCCTCGGCCTTGGCGTCAAGCGTGCCCGTCTCGTCGTTGTTCTCAATGTCCACACCCACCGTCCACTCGTCGTCTTTTCGGTTCTTCTGTGCTGCGTGTGCGACATACAGCTTGGCCAGCACTTCAGTTGCGTCCAGACCGGCTGACTCGGCGAGCGTGCGCGGGATAACCTCGAATGCCTCGGCATATTTGCGGATCGAGTACTGTGCCAGACCTGGTGTCTTGTCCGCGATAGCCTTGACTCTCTCGATCAACTGCATTTCAGTTGCTCCGGCACCGGGCACTAACCGTGCGTCGCGGGTAATGGCCTTGACCACGTTGACACCGTCGTCAATCGCTCGCTCTATGTCGTCGAGATGGTTCTGAGTGGCACCGCGAAGCACCAGAGTGGCAGTCCGTGTCTGTTCGTTCTCTTGCCTGAAGACTGTGACGCGGTCACCACCAATCTCTAGTGTCTCGACCACATCAATGCTACCCATCTCATCCGGCATGGGCGCACCAAGACGGGCGAGCGGTGTGGCTCCAACTACCCTGCACAACCGTCGCAGCTCGAACTTGGAGAGAATCTTGATGACCAGGATGTTGTAGCGGTTCAGGTAGTGCATGGCTAGTTCGCCAATTGTCGATCCAGCAACAACCACCCTTAGGCCAGAATCGTGGAGCTCCTTGATAGCCTGCTCCACTTGTTGCTCCTCGCCCTTTGTGAATTCCATCATTTCCTTTGCATTGTGTAGCAGCACCGTGCCCTTGGTCTCTGTTTGCGAAATATCGATTGGGCACGAGAAAACTCCGACCTTGGCCTTGGTTGCCTTTTGCACAGTACCGTCAGGCTGTCTTGCAAAGACCATGCCCTTGACCACCTTGCTCTGCTCCAGAGCTCCACCCATGATCTTGACTACGCGGACGTTGTCGACATTGAAGTTTACGGGGTTCTTGGGGAGGACGGCGAGAACGGCTTCGGCGATGAGGTCAGCGAGGAAGTCCTCGCTGCCAGACTGTTTGGCGGCAACAACGGTGCGGATGGCCTTGCTGAGTTGCTCTTGTGACCAGATATCCTCAACCTTGTCGCATACAAGCTCTGGATTGAATTAGCTTTGTAACTATTGGAGACGTCTGCGAGAACACCTACCTTCAAGTGTTTGAAGAGCGGCAAGCTGTGCCTTCTCGTAGCCCAAGACAATGTCACTTGTCTTGAGACCCATCCTGATCAGTTCCTCGGCTTTCTTCAACAGCTCGCCAGCCAGTACGATGACGAAGTTTGTGGCATCGCCCATCTCTGCCTCTTGCTGCTGGCTGGCCATGACCAGGAGCTTGGCTGCCGGGTGTACAACCTCGAGTTCACGCAGTATTGTTGCCGCATCCGAGGTGAGGATCATCTTCTGGAGGTGGTTTATGACAATCTTGTTGCGGCCATATGGTCCGAGAGATGTCTGAACCGTCTGTGCAATCGTCCGGCAGGCATCGATGTTGCGGATGACGGCTCCATCTTCAGCGTCGTAGCTGTTGCGGGGTGGTTAGTTGAGTGTTTACAGTGATTGCGGGGTCATGCAAGAGCATACTTTTGGTAGCCTTGCTTGAAGAGGCCGGCATTGGGGGCGTTGGGTATAGAGAGAGACATTTCGGCGGTATATGAGGGGTATCTTGAATGTGGTGGTTACCTGACCCAAAGGTCTGCGCGGCAAGAACGCGTCCAGTCCCAAATTTCGATGCCAAGACTTGGGGATCGGGGGAAGAAATGACCGACAATTCACGACATGGACAACTGTCAGGGTTGCAGTTTGGACATGTACTTCCATGAAATTTCTATGGTTCAGATGCAGTAGACAAGACTGTGCCTTTTCTGATCATTCTGGAGCTTGGCTTCTCATCGAAACACAGGACAGACGTCACCATTCCCTTCATCATGGGCGCGACAGGCAGTACTTAAGTACGTAGATCACAAGCAGCACTCACACCAAAGTAGACAACGACCAGTTGCGGAGAAGCAGTCTATGTCTTCTGTTCATATGCAAGATATCCGTCCATCTCAGTCGCGTAAACATTACGTCTTTGAGGGCATGTAAGAATGTGAGCAATGACTATCTAACTGTACTCTGGAGAGTTTGTAAGGGTACCGCTAGCGAATTTAGATTGCTCAACTTCCTCTGGGCACCATTAAAATGGCCAACATCTCATGAGAGTACGAGTATGCTGGAGATAAGGAAAAGTGCCGTGAAGAAGAAACGAAGGTGCCCGCGCGCAAAGAAAAGTTAGTTATTCGCATAGCTGCTTAGGTAATGTCGAGCTAGGCTCAAAGCACTTCCGCTCCCCGAACTTTTCCAACGCCCAGAGATGGCTGCGCCAGCATCGTAATTCGGCCACGGCCTTGGGGAGATATGAACACTGGACAGCAGGCGACTAGGCGTCTGGCCTCGAGAGCCGGTATGCAACGCAATTGGCATTGGGCGCATCCTGATCGCTGACGAACAAAGGCCCCTCGGTATGTCGCTCATGTAGAGACACCATCACCCGCACCTACGCATCCGCCGCTGCAGCCATACAGACCCAGGACCAAACCACTCAACATGTTCCCCCGGTTGCTCAAGCCTCTCCTTCAACCGCATACGCTGTCAATGCTGGTGTCGTCCTTTCCCGCCCCCCGCAAATAACACGCGACCTGCATCCATTCGAGGCAGCCTTCTTCCTTTACCAAAAACGTCTGAATGAGCGACTCGCACTGCCCTTTACACGATACTTTTACGTCAAGAAGCGAACCCCGGCTGATCTGGAATGGAAACGGAAGATGAAGCAACGGCTGACCCCTGCCCGCGATATCGGACGGTACAAGGGCTACGGTGACGAGGCCTGGAATGACGAATTGCTTGTTGGAGCACCCGAGAGTAATTTCGAACATCAAGTCGGCAAGTTGCTAGAGGATGCTGAGCAATCTGGTCTGGAAGATGCACCAGACACCACAGGCGCAAACAAGATGGAGCGTGAGCCCGTGGAGAGACCAATGCCGAGAGTGACGGAAGCAGACAAGAAAAATGACACAAAGAGTCTGAACCGCGCGCTGCAACGGACGCTGTATCTTCTCGTAAAGAACAAGGAAGGGCAATGGCAGTTCCCACAGGATCGTCTGAAGGATGAGCATCTACATGGGGTATGACCCCGCCCCCACTTGGACGAAGGAGAGGGTGTGCTAACAAAGTTTTAGGCCGCAAACCGTCTCATCACCAGCACCGGTGGCGTCAACATGAACACTTGGCTTGTAGGCCACGTGCCAATTGGTCACCACCAACTGGAATATCGCGAGCCGCGACCTTCTGGAACTCTGAAGGAGTACGGCGCAAAGACCTTTTTCATGAAGGCACGCATCATGGCTGGCCAAGTCGACTTGAAGGAGAACAAGCTCGGTCTCCAGGACTTTAAGTGGCTAGCCAAGGAGGAATTACAAAAGGAGGTTGACGGCAGTTACTGGCGATCCATCAAGAACATGCTTGCGGAGCGGTGAGATTGCTTTGCCTTTATGATGTATGGCATGATGAAAGTAGATGACGTGTAGCATGCACCAATTCTTGTAGCATTATGTACATTATTCAGAAATATTGGACAGTGATTGTGCAATTGATCTATCAAGGCTCAATCGAGGAACTATGCCAGAGATGTCTAACCGAAAAGCATCACAGATGTTCTCTTGCTTAGGTGAAAGAAAGAAAGAAAGAAAGAAAGAAAGAAAGAAAGCATATATCAACGTCAGCAAATGTATTTTTAAAGAAAGTAGAAGCCTGTTAGACCTCGATCAAAAAGACTCAAAAGATTGACATCATTGATACTCCCAAACTCAACCAGCAAAAACCCCTTTCCATCCTCACTCACACTTCTCCCAGTCATAACTGAAACCCTGCTGCGTCCCATAATACTGCCTCCCCAACTCCACACTATCCTCATACTCGCTCTCCACAACTCCCGTCTGCCCCTTCTCCCCCATCACCCACAACTCCGTGCGAAAAGTAAACAACCCACTACCGCATTTCTGCTGCGGAATAAGTTGCGGCGGATAACTAATATTCGAATAGTGCTCTTGAGCATGCGGTCCAGATTGCAAGGGGCCCATTAGATCGATCGTATCGGCGATCTAGACGTATATTAAGTCAGCTACTCTGTTAATTTGCCGTACCTCCCCTTCCTCCTAGCCACAACAAGAAAACGGTGTTAAAAAGGGTGGACATTACCTCCCTCCTCCTCACCCCCTCCCCCTCATAATACGCAAAATCCCAATACACCCGCACCCCCTCATCCAACCTATACGTCAGTAACCCCTTCGTCCCATTCTTATGCACCCTCAACTTATACTCCTCTGCCTCCACCTTCCCCTGCAAATCCGCAAACTCTTTGTAGGCGACGGTGGCTTCGCACCAGGTATGACGCGGTCCGGTACTGAGATTGACACGTAGCCACGGGTAGGCGATGAACCAGTAGTAGATTTCTCAGCCGTCTATTGTGTTGGTGCCGTGGGTGGGGCGCGTGGTGCGGATCAAGGAGGTGTTTTTGCCGGTGTCGGGGCAGCCGGGGCCGAGGAGGGAGGAGATGGTGAAGGACCAGTTTGGGGGGAGGATGCGCTGTGGATCGGTTGGGGCAGAGGCGAGGGCGAGGGCGAGGGCGGTGGTCAGGACTGTGAGGAGAGGGAGGGCGGGGGTGGTGTATTTCATTTCTGAAGGTGTTCAGAATTGAGGGTTTTGGTTAGGTTGCTTACTGTGCTCTTGTGTGTTTTGGACGGCATCGTGGTTGATGAATATTCATGGGGCTTTTATAGACGTCGATATGTGTGACATCTTTGCCATCTGAATATCCTGGGGATACCCTAATGCAGGCAATATGTGTGTATCACCTTGAATCTGTCTGAGAAGCATGCTGGACATATTATCCCACATGCTCATAGGGTTCGTTACTATATCGCTCTTTGAGTAACATCGAAGATTCCGTGCAGAGGACCTAGCAATTTCAATATCGTATCGAGAAGGAAGTGGTTTGCGAGCGGGGATGATGTTCGGTATGAAGTTGTTGAGTAGAGATGAAGTCAGGCGGCCATCACTTGACGTATAACCAGTGATCTATCCGCTTATTTCTGGATCCTGTGCTGCCCGCGTCCTGCGGCCCGGTTGATCATCGCTGTCCTGCAGTTCATCTCCAGCACCAATCCTGATCGACTTGGAGTTTCTGTATCAATATATGGTTAAACAGGACTGTGTTGGGAAGTCTGAAATAGGACGCATGCAGCAGCTCGTTAAGGTGCTGAGGCTGTGCAGTGTCGGTTGTGTCCGTCAGCACAGCGAAACCTGACGAATTATACGCTTCCTGTGAGGTAACGGCTTCCATATACGTAAAATGGGCATCGTTTAGCCTATAGCGATTGCTGGGAACAGAAAGTAATGTGCGGAAGAAGGAAAGGATTCTGCAAGGGGACGAGTTCATACGAAGTATCGCAATCTTCTTCGCTCATTCACTCGTTATGCTAGATCGGCTGGTTCTTATGGTATTGATTGACAATTTTGATGCGAGATTGTTGATACATTGTGAAGGTGCGCAATTTGATTTTTCATACAGCCTGTGTTTGGCGAAGAATGTGACTGGTGATTGCTGTACTTCTACACACCATCTGAATATAAGAAGAAGCTAAATCGCTATCGGCCAGCCAGCTGTTAGTTCTCTAAAGTTGCTTCCTAAAGTACTAACACCATCTCATTTCGTGAGCCCTTTCCAGACAATAAACTGATCTTGTGTCCATATTGTTTTCATACCTATCTGGTCCGTACGCCTCGAGTATTAGAGTAGAATCCCGATCTTGGATCCCAAGACGAACTATTGCCAAGGTAATCTTTCTCTATTGCGAGCCGCGTTGTAAGATCTAGTACCTAAGAGGATGAAACCAACCCACCGATCCATTCTAATAACATATGAACGCCTGAAAAAATCTCATACGAGGCGCCTTCGTTCGACAGCAGTAGGACCTCGTATGAGACAAAACAACACTGTCTCCAATTAGTTCTACTAACGACTCCGAAAGTTCCGTTAACCTGCCCAAATTCGTAACCATGCTTACAAAGTAAGCTAAGTAACTATTCTCAACAAAGAGTTGCAAGGGCAAATCCTGATTCGAAATGCCGGTACCTCCGCGACTAGTAGGATCGTACGTTGCGTTACGAATGTCCGGGAGTACTTCGGTGCAAATATGATGCTGGGTTGACAGAACAAGACTAGCTACCTTGTGAAGCTTTACAACTACGGTGTTGATTGCGGTATCGGTTGCGAGGTCGTCCAAACTCTCGCTACTACGGGCATCATGAAATGCCGAAGGAGGTCTTCAAGGAGGGGCGTGCGTTGAATGGACATCTTTTTGATCCCCATTCGTCGTGATGCCTCCAATAGAGTGTTCAAAGTCCAGTCACGTTAGTTTATCTCTAGGGAGCCGTATTTCTCAAAAGTTTCAAGTAACCTGACTCCTCCTGATGCGTTGGTACGCTTATACAGTTGTCAGCAAATCATCAAAGTGATTGCTTGTACAATAATCAGGTGGATTGGACTGGCTACCGGAAGTCCTAAAAGGGTATCGCGGTGCGCTAAGAAGAGCCAAGATCAACGTATCTGAAATCTGATAGGTGCTCGACACGAGGTAACCGGACTACCAATGATCTTTATCATCCTTGAGACGCGGAGATTAGTACGATTTGGTCCGTGACAGTAGAGAGGCTGTCTCACTTGAGATATGGCCTCAGTTCCCGGCTCAGGATATCCATCCGTCAGGTGAACTGTCTGATGAAATCATTGGCTCGAGCTGCCATCCCACAAATTGGTCAGGTTATCCAAATTACAGATCGGGGGGAACATGCTGATGCTCAAAACGTCTTTAAGAATGTTCAGTATCTGTTCTTGCCTTTCTTTTGTCTCAGCACAAAGCGCAGCTAGTATGCTATTAGTGTGCAATCAACATGAACGCATCGCTGTAAGCTTACCTGCATATAATGCTTGATAGCTAACGAAAGCTGACGGCAAATTTTGCGATTGATCTGCTACAGCGATTCCGCATATGATCGAGGTACTTTCGTGAAGGAGTTTGAAGCGTGTTTGGTACGTATTAAGACCGCCAGTAGAAGGTTGGTTAAGTAGAACGACTATCCTTGCAAAATGATAGAATTGGATAGCAGCAGCATGCGCCTGAGGATGGATCCATATGGGCGGAATTTGAGTTTTTCCCAACGAGGGCGGTGACGTTACTTGAGGTGCGGATGCAACAGGGATAGGATCGAATGATGGCGGAAGAAGCTGTTTCCATGCATCAAGTATCCGAAGTAGGGTTTCTCCAGCTTCGATGTAGCCAGCGATATCGTCTTGTTTGGGCGTTGCCGCATATTGTACACATTTGGCAGCGATGTATATGATACGTGTCGTCAGCCCCTCTAATGTAAGTTCTGCCATTGGTGTGATTGGTTGGTGTACAGTAAGTGCTGGTCTCCCAGTCCGGAAAGCTGCCCATATATCTTGTCGTAGCCATTGCCACCAGACTGCACGCTGCAATCCGTTTGCAGACTCTCCGCTTGTACCTGTGTTCTGTTGGATCCAAAAGGCTCCTCTTAGATGGCGATCCCATTCGCTGTGGTCGTAAATTGCACTTGCTCCAAACATCTCAAATGTCGAGAGCATGATGCCAGTTGTCAGTATTTCCAGAGAACTTGTGTATGACTGGTATATCAAGTTTTGCGATATATACTGTAGTGTCTCTATGAAAAACTTCTCAGCAATCACTCGCATAGGTGTTGACACATTAGAACCTGATATAGGTGTTTGAGGATATACTTGAGATGCGGACTCATTACCAATGTCCCGGCCCGAGTAGAAACTCATGTGGTGTGCGCCAACTGCCAGGATCGACTTGAGCAACCCGACATTGCGCAGAGCGAGATGTGGCACAACATTGGCAAAGTGCTTCTCGGTATCGAACAGATCCAGTATCGGCGCTACAACGGTCACATAATGTGAAAAATACACCATCTCTTCGCCTCCCAGTTCGATCCTTGTGTGGGTATTCCACGGCTGAGTCGGGGTGGTCATTGACTGAATATTTATATTGCTGAAAAGACTATCCCCAGATTCCAAGGCAATGGACTGCATGGGGCGTTGTCTTCTTGATAGACTTGTGATGTCTAAATTCCTGAAAAAAGTTTGTCGAATTGGCTCCTGCATGGAGAGGATCGTGTCTTCTGCAAGCCGGTCATACCTGCTGGGCGTCAGGTTCTTATCAGCTTTACAGGTAGATACATATTACCATTCATTAGGGCCAGAAGTGGGTATCAAACTATCCCCGAAACTGAAAACGCTGTTGTTGAGAAGGAATCCTTCGTCGGGAATCGCGTCATCAGAGAGCACTGATTGCCCTGGGGGAAATGGTATCCATGATTGGATGGGAGCCACAGCCTCTGAACTTAGTGTGCTTTCTGATATCGAAGCACTTACTTCCTGGTCGCTATCTGGCGGCACTGATTCAGTGCCAGTTGATGAGCCTTCTTCTGGCCTGCGAGCACTCAAAGCCCTGGGTTGTCGAGGTGCAGAGGATTTTTCGGCATAGACACATTCGCGGGTGACTCTTTCGCAATTCTGGCAATTCGGTCGACCTTCATCGCACTTGACCCGGCGCTGGCGGCACGTCAAGCTACCAGGAGTTAGTGAATGTGAAGAGTCTCATTATGATACAGAAATTCAAAGCTGTAAATATGTGCAAGGCGCAGCTGCACCAGACACGATGGCCATTTAGACTTATTTTGGGAACAAAATCATTTACGTAACATACCAACCCGTGGAGGTTCTCAAACCTCTTGATTTGGAAGGCATCCCTCCAAAGTCGTTCAATACGTAAGTGGGAGCCAATGTTTGAAGGGATCGTGTCGAGCTGGAGATAGGCGGGCTCGATGCGGGCGACTGGCTCAAATACGATCTAGGTAAACGCACGGAAGCTAACCGTAGTCGCGTGCGCAAGTCTGCGGAGGTACCCCTCGCCAGCTCGGCCCAGCATGACTCGGCGTATCGGGAAATGATATAAAAGCACCGACAGTGTAGGATGCTGTGAGGAGCGGTGCGATGGACTGCTGACGTAGTAGGAGCTCGAATCTCACGTGGATGATGTTGGCGTCGTTATTGGCGTGTAGAGCAGCATTTATGACACACAGGCTACACACGTGATAAGGAGAAGCACACCGCGTTCACCTTCCAATGACGATTCAAAAAGGCCTACGCGAGAAGATGAAGTTATAGTACGTATTATTGGTCTACATTGCCATGATGAGAGGCTTTCTCCATTCTAGTATCGTCGCACTGTCTGGGCAGCGGAATCCAACGGGATATAATATAGTATACAAGGTTTGATACACAATATAAACAACACCCCTGTTCATCCCCTCCATAAGTCGCCCCCTCTACCACGAAACCCGCCTCCTCTGCCTCGTCCTCTGAACCCACCTCTACTACCTCTGTACCCTTCACTCCATGGGCCGCGATCTTCACCAACCTCTACGATGCGATCGTCATCGTCGAAGCTGTATTTGTATTTCATCTCTGTTTTGATGCCCCTTCCTTTTCTGACCTCGCCTGGCGCCCAGTCTCGGCTTGTCTCAGCATCCAATTCCTTCAGTCTAATATCAGAAATCTCGTCTGAGACAGGGAGGTAGAATAGTTGTGGTTTTGACTGTGTCGATTCGAAGAGTTCGTGGAGCGTCTTGAATGAGGCCTCGGTATCTTGACGAGCATCCTTTGTCGGTACTGAGGGCCGCTGATGGACGGATGGACGACGTGTATCTTCACTTCCACGAGGGCCTCTTGGTGCATTTGCGGGAGCGCTAGAACCGACTTCCTGGAATACTGCTGTGACTGAACCATCGCTAGATTCGGGATACACGACCTCGAAGCGTTTCGGGTTGGTAGACCGTCCACTGGCACGAGCTTCCTTTTCGGCAGCCACTGCATCCTCCTCTTCTTTGATCCAGCTCTCGACGCTTTCTTCAGGAACGAAGTCGACCCATAGTTCCTTCCTCTTCCCCTCTGGTGGCCATATCGAACCATGCAATGACGCTCGTACTCGGGACGCGGCAGTCTTAGTACTGAACAAGACAAGAGCGTGTGTTTTCATTGCATCCAAGAAAAGAGCTTTGACAATTGTGGAGTCGGGTGAGCTAGAAGGTGGAGAGGTGAGAGAAACTAAGTGTGCACGCAGTGGTTCCGGACGCAACGGGCGCATAAAGTTACGTATGTACAGAGCTGATGTTACTGGGTGGAGTGCGGGCACCGTCGGTCGATCGTCGGTCAAGGCTTCCTGTGGTGTTTTGTTATCACTAGACTTTATCAAGTCTTTGTATCGAGCTGCCTTTTCTTTTCTTTCGGGCTTTGCATCGGCCTCAGTCACTAGGGAGTCTGTTTCTGGTGATACAGCGTGGTGGCTATTCGTTTGATCCTGTTTGGCATCTGTCACATGATCGTCTTCCTCCACTGGTCTTTGCTCCATCACTACGTCTCCATCTTCTTTGAGATGTACTTCAGGCGCAGGGTTTTCGCTTGGCCGATGCTTTTTGGCTCTGATATCTTGGGCCCTCATCTCCGGTGTCCCACTGCGCCTCTTCCGCTTCTTAGAGTCGGCCTCGAGTTCTTCGGTATTGAGTCTAGATGTCTCGTCTGGCGAATGCTCAGACCCAGTGGCAACATCCGGCTTCTCCACTGATTCTTGTTCATTGAGTGTAGCCGAAGTTGGCCTCTCGTCCATTGTAATGTCTTGCGAATCTCTGGGTGCCTCGGGGTTATGATGTACCAGTCGCAAGGCCTCAGCGGCTGGACCGGGGGCTTCCGGCAGTTCGTCTTTTGCAATCTTCTCTTTATTTCCATCCTCAACCTCCACATTCACAGGCTCAGTAACCGTCGGGCCCACCACGCTGTCTGGATCCGCAGGAGGCGCATTGAAGATCCCTGCCGGCTGTATTGAACCCGGCTCATCGGCTTCAGTGACAGCTTCTGCTGACTGCTCGATTACTTGAGTTCGGTCTGGTGGTGGCACGTCGCTGTCTATGTGTGATACTGTCTCTGGTAAGGAATCCGTTGTCGCTACGAGTACAGGTGTAGTGTCAGGTTCGAGTTCAGGCTGCGCTTCAGGCTCTATTTTTGGTTAGTCGCCAATTACATAAAGTCTTTGAGTATGTAATTACCTCCGGCTTTTGCGAGCGCGGGTCCAGGTACTTCTGGTTCGGGGGTGGCTTGCTTCGCGCTTGCTTCCTCCTCAACCTGTGGAGTTGGCTCAGTAGACGCATTGGAAGTTTCCAGAGCACCGTCTGCCTCCTCAAGTTTCTCGATAATTTGCGCCTTTCGCGTCAGGCCCGTACTCGGTATGCCTCGGTCTTTTAGTATCTGTCGCAGCTGCGCGACTGTTTGCTTATTGTAGTCCGCCATTGCCGGATCGGTCTGTTTAGCAGTGGTCAATGTGGTAGAGTAGTGATCGCATAGGCAACCAATATCTGATGTGAACCCAAATTTTTGGAAAAAATACAGGTGAAGGGAGAGGTTAAAGTTGCGACCAGGCTGGCTGCCAACGGCACAGTTGAGAGATTCGCGCGTGTCGCGTTAGTGTCTTGGCGTCCCGGGAGTGGCTCGTGCATAGCATGCATATGTGGAGAAGGCTTGCATTAGGACCCTGGCCATTGTCATTAAGACTCGTGGGGGTCAACATCCTAGATCCAGACTATCAGGACTTCTTGTGCAATATCAAACTGGGTTGAACTTTTGTAGGGCATACTCTAGTATGATAATGTATACTTGGAGGCTAGAATAAGGAACGACGTCACAAAAAAACACATCTCTAATTACTATAGCGTAGCCCAGATGCAATATCTTTGCTTAAAAAAGCGACCAGTAGAGTCCTGTTGCAGCAGTGTGAAGGTAGGCAGCTAACAAGGCTGACAGGTTATCAGACACATCATCTCACTGGCGCTCAAGGCCAGGTAATCCGCCAAGAGAGCTGAGTGGTACTATTGACTAATGTAGCTAGATGCAGATCACCATGGCACTTCGTGCTGGGCCGTTGTCTACAAAGGATTTCTCCTCAAGTTTACCATTGGTCAGCCTCGTCCGCTCTGAAGGATTGAGGCTTGCTCTTCAGCATTGATTAGGTTATTTCTGCAGTTTGCACCGGCTTATGCGCGTGCGGACGCACCACGTGAAAGCATTTATTGAAGCAGGTCATAGTAGTGGCTGTGTCTGGAAACAGATAACTCGTAATCGAACTCCGCGCTGCTAGTATATACACGATAAAAGTCGAAGGTCTTTATCTCTATATCTCTTCGCACATCTATTACTGCAATGATGGACATTTTACCTTTCAACAGTCTTTCTAATACCAAAAAGGAAATCCGAATCCTTGAACTTAGTGCACAACTTCCTCTAGATGGCCGTTTAATCAGAGCTTTGTTACACAATATGCACATCAACTATGTAGCGCTGTCATACACTTAGGGTGACCCTATCGCATACAGCGCGACGAATTGTTACGATAAAAATCAATCTGTTTGCATCAACAGAATGCAGCTGAGTATAGCCGGGAATCTGGCTGCCGCGTTGCACTATTTGCGGAAATGAGAAGTAAGCAAGGTATGGATAGTTGCCCTGTGAATTGATCGAGGCAATATAAAGGAGCGAGGCAATCAGGTCAAGCTGATGGGCAGTGTGTACCGAAAAGCAACACGTGTCTTGGTATGGCTGGGCCCCACGACAAGTGACAGCGACCTTGCGATGAGATTTCTTGCACTCTTAGCCTGCTGTACCACAATGGCAGATCCGAAGCGGTCATTTCTAGCCCACGCTGAAATGAGATACTACGACTCATGGATGGCATTAAAGCATTTGCTGGAGCACACCTGGTGGAAAAGAGCATGGGTAATCCAGGAAGTCACATTAGCAAAGGAGGTGGAATTCGCATGCGGAAATGAGACAATTTCAGAATCTGAGTTCACGAATATCGAACGACTGATCACCAAATACTGGGCCTTTGTCTTCCCGACCGACCTCAATAAGAGAGTTGGACTGACAGGGCGCATGCTGGATCCTTTTCGGTTCCTCTCGCGTATGCGCATCTTCATGCAGACAGGTAAGAAGCTCGAAGTACTTCTTCTATTGTGGTTAACTAAGCAAACCCTTGCCTCCGACTCTCGTGATATTTTGTTCGCAAAATATGGCCTATTAGGAGACAAAGCCACTACGCTTTGTTCTCCGACTTACACTGCACCCTTCGATGGCATTTTTCGGAGGTTCCTAGAAGCATATGTTGAGAAAGAGAAAGATCTATCGATCGTCTGCAATACTGGCTTATCTTTTAATGGTCACACAACTAAATTGCCATTGTGGCTGCCAGACTGGGGTACCTCGAATCCGGCATATCCTCTGCAGTGTTCTTGGGATGGCGGCTGGCCTGTCTATAATACGTCTGGGAACACGGCGCTTGATGTGAGATTCTCAGGAGATGGAAGCATTCTCTATGCAAAAGGCATCATGATCGATACCATCGACGGTGTACAGTTTGATCTATAGTGCCGTGAGAGCTTCGAATGTGGCAAGGGGTGCCAATCACAGTTGGAAACCTGTGCTTACGGAGAAGGAGAAAAGCTCTTTGAAGCCCTTTACCGCACAGTTGTCGCGGATACATACCGTCAGGAAGCACCTTTTATCCCTGGAAAGGCCTCTGAGGAATTCAGCTACCTCTTTGCGAGGAAATGCAGGGAATGCGATGAAGATCTCGCCGTCCTAAACGAGCCGCAAGGTTACATGCCAACCAAAGCTCGTTCCAACGCTTCGAACATTCAGATGCGATGGCATGATATGAGAAATCTTCGGTCGAGTAAGACATCTCTTACTGAGGTTGTCGGTAAGGCCTTGTTGGAGTTTCCCGGATCCGAGTCCGAAACTATGAGTGTTGATGATGAACCTATCGCGAATCATCCTTTGTGAGCATCCTTTGAGCATAGTCTTGGACAAGCTATGACTCACAGAAGGATCTTTACAACTCGCAACGGATATCATGGTCTGGGTCCTCGTATGCTGATGCCGGGAGATGGTATATGTGTGATGCTGGGCTGCGTCACGCCATTGATCGCCAGAGCAAGCTCAAACAAGGATCATTACATACTTTTGGGCGAGACTTATATCCATGGTGTAATGAGTGGGGAGGCGATTGAACGGTATCAAGTGGGGAGGATAGAGGTCGAAAGTTGGATTGGGCTTTGCTAACTATCAGACCGTGACCCTTGTCGACAAGGATTTCTTTAGCTAGTCTTCTACTTTCCAAACCGTCCATATTTGCAGCAGAGATACAAATCAATAGACGCTGTAAGTACATGCTGTAGCAAGCACAGCCAGGCACTTGATCCTTGACGAGTTGCAGCCTTGCAGTTGCAAAAAGTGTTGAGGGCAGGCTGTGTATGTACATAGTAGTAAGCCTTGCATAACCGACCTGGCTTTATCTTTGGCCCGCCTATCTACTTCCCTTTCTTACATCTTCATTCGCATAGCTTGCCTTGATGATTAGCAGCAAACTTCATAGCATATAATCCTTGGCCAAAACAATCCATAAGAGGAAAATAATACCATCACTAAGGAAAACACCATGAACAAGCGTCGCGAACCAATCTCCTCAACATGGGTGTCCCTCGTTGGCTCAGCCGCATGTCTATGTGCCACCGCATATCTAGCTCGATCGCTCGTAGCCACCAAAGAGCGGTACGGTCTGAACCTGACTCCCAATATGATTCAGGGATTTTGTTCCCATAATCAGCTGCTCATCTCTCGCCTACCTGCCCATGCCGCGACAGAAAGCTCATACAGCAGGCTACTGCACCTTTTTCACGAACCTCACGCCTCAGTATACGTATGTAATGGGCTGCTCAAGCGTGAGAAGGCATCATGGGAAACTGTACTAGACACCGTACAACTACTGTCGATTGGAGGGAAACGAGGAACAAGCATTCCCGGCGTACCAATCAGCAGAACAACACTTATAAACCTTCTCCTCCTAACCAATGTACGCATCATCCAAGAGTTCTCTTCTTCCGCTGGATACCGAGCCGCATTAGGAAGCTGGTGCGGCCAATGGTACATCCAATGGGAAATGGGACAGCAGCACGCTCTTGGCAGCTTGCGGGCACATGATTCGCATTCGCCAGCAACAGATGTGTATGCACCTGTTTTGTCTGCGAGAGTTGATGCATGCGTCAGGATGATGGCAGGCGTGGTCCAGCATTCCAGTGGAGGCCCAAGCAAATTCGCAATGGCGTTCCCAGGCAGAGTGCCTGCTGGTGAATATTCCCTCGAGTACCAAGAGAAGGGGTTCGCATTGTCGCATGGCGCACGCCATATCTACAATATGAATGGCGGAAAAGTATACGAGACAGATTTTCTCCTGCCACGAAAAAAGGAACAAAGTGGGTTTGCTATTTCACGTACTGGACAGAAAGAAGCGGAAACAATCTTTGATCTGCCGTCGAGCAAGCAGGAAATGCATCCTATGCGCATGTACGTCGCGCCGAACGAACAAGCGATCCTAGCACAACGCCTAGATCATATTTCCTGAGCTTACCTCTCATGGTCTATCCACCGCGGCATGCGAGACATACTGCTCGCTTTTTCCCGGAAAACAATGCAAAAATGGTGTCAACGGTTAGCTGGGCGACTACGTGATGCGGCGCCCCATTAAACGAGAGGTGCTTGTCAAATAAGGCTGGGAGTCTTCCTTTGTAGATGAGTACATAGGCACCATGACCTCTTCAGCTATTCTCGCCGAGCGCGGTAATTCAGGAGATGCTGTTCGCATAGTCACTGCACTGGCGGCCTTAGAATATGCAGGGGGGAACGAACCTGATCTATCAACTCTTGATGAGACGGCCTTCTGGAGACGCATTGTCAGTGAAAAAGTAACAGGAATTAAAGAAAACGAAGTAGATAATGGGTGGCTGAGCAGGGATGCTATCGCGGCGCTCGTGAAATGCTTTGTGTTGGAATGGAGTGTCGACTTTGATTATCAGTTTTATCATCGCTTGCCGACAGATCTCCTCTTCATTTAAGGTAAGTAGTGTGTTCGATCATAATACCGCCTAGCTTTATTACACACGTAGTCACTTTACCATGCTATCCTGTTCTCAATTTCTCAAAACGATCAAGGTCTGGATATGTTGGGGTATGAGTTCGAACTACCTGAATGACGCGAATATAGTCACTTCGCTACTATATCTGACTCTATGAGTGTCGAATTTCTATCTAGTATATAAAATGCGAGGCATCAAACCCAACTGGATACTCCCAGAATCCCGCCGAGTCAAGCTCGCCAAGCCATGTAAATCGCCTGACTCGAACCACAAAGAATTCAACACTCCATCCAAACCGTCAAGTTTGAACCTCCGTCACAACGCAAATGTAACCAATGTCCTTCATCCCGCGCCATGCCTTCCCGCCAATTCCCTCGTTGCCCCGGTCCTATTTCCTGGGCCACCACAAATCCGGGCTGCAAAAAATGAAATCCCTACTCGCTACCATCGATCTCGTCATTGAGTGCCGCGACTACCGCGTACCATTAACATCTCGCAATCCGCTCTTCGAGAGCGCCCTGGAGGGCAAAGAGCGAGTAATCGTGTACACCAAGCGCGATCTAGGCGGCGGCTCCCGCGACAATCGCAATGAACATGTGATTGCGCAATGGCACCATCCCACCCCAACCATGTTTGTGAGAAACGGCAAAGATGCAGAGGGCGAAGCTAGCGGTCGTAAGAGCGTAATGAAACTTCTCGATCTACTAAGAGAGCATGCGCAGAAGAGGTGGAAGTTGGTGGGTCATCGAGTCATGGTTGTCGGTATGCCCAATGTCGGCAAGTCCACACTTCTCAACGCTTTGCGCGCCCAAGGAATCGGAAAAGGCAAAGTCGCTGCTACGGGTGCGCAGCCCGGTGTTACTCGCAAGGTTAGCAGTAGCGGCGTCAAGATCATCCCAAGCGAGGACGACGTCGAGTCCACAGATGTTGGTGCAAGAAGAAAATTGCAAGGTGTGGGCGGAGGCGTCTACCTTCTCGATACCCCAGGAGTCTTTATCCCGTATGTGCCAGATGCGGAAGCAATGATGAAACTGGCGCTGTGCGGCTCTGTAAAAGATACCATTATCCCGCCCGTCATGCTTGCGGATTACCTACTCTACCACCTCAATCTCCAGTCGCCTACGCTCTACTCTGAGTACGCGCCCCCCACCAACGAAGTCATCGAGTTGCTCTCCGAGATTGCCAAAAAGACGGGTAGGCTGGGGAAAGGCGGGACGATAGATACGGAAGCGACGTCGTTGTGGCTGATTCAGAAGTGGAGGAGCGGCAACATGGGTCGGTTCTTGCTTGATGACGTCGAAGAGAAGAGTTTGGAGAAAGCAAAGCTTGATGAGGAAGGTGCGGTGCCGAGTTTCAATCAAGCAAGAAAGGCAGAGCGAGAGAGAAGACGGGAAAGGAATAGAGCACGAGGAGAGAAATAATCATAATATGCAGCCAAAGCTGTAATTAAAAAATGAGAGTCTACTTCACATATAAAATATGAATACTATCATTACTGATAAAAGAATACTCCACAACATATGAAATCCATCACGTCTTCAAGATTGTCTCTGCTCCACTCTCCCTTCTCCCTTCACTCTCCCTTTCCCTCTTCCCCCCCCCCTCAACTCCTCGCAGAATCCCATCCCTATCCTCACAATCGCTTCGTATCATCCTCATTCGGCAGAATAACCACCGTCTTGTACTTCTGCTCCATCACAGTCCCAGGCGCAGGCGTCGATTCAGGCTCCGCAGACACAAGCAACGTCTTCGTCGCCATAACCGTCGACGTCGGTATCGTAAACTTCAGAATGCTCAGCGACGGCGTACTCGACGTCTTGGTCGAAGACGCAGACTGCACAACCGTAACACTAGACATGACCACAACCGACACCTTTGTCGCAACAACAGCGGTAGGAAGGGCGCTGCTACTACTGCTGCTGGTAGAAGACGACGACGACGACGACGAGACAGTCGCCGGCACGGGAAGCGGATAGTCCAGGTCCCTAACATCCACGAGACTCACCGTACGCACAGGCTCCGTAGTCGTAGCCGTGCGAATATAAATCGCGATATTCTGCGCCTCTGGCGACTTCTCGCACTTGCGGAGTTTGGCCCTGGGCTTTTTGATGCGGATTTCCTGGTGGAGCTTCTTACCGCGGCCTTCCCACACTGCCTTCCCGCAGAGCGTCATGCCCGGGTACCACGGGTTATGTAGGTAGACGGGGCGGTGCCAGGAGCGCTTGGCCAGAGGTCTCGCGTCGCCTGGGATGACGGTCACGACGGGCTGGATGGAGATGGTTTTGGTGTAGACGGGGGCGAGGGGCCGCTCGCCGCAGTCGGTGGGGTTGTCTGAGCCGGATTGGCATTCGAACCATTCGAGTGCCTTTTCGGATCTCGAGAAGCATTCGTAGCAGAGGATACTGCCGGTCCAGGGGTGTAGCATCCAGACGCCGCGGCGGGGGCCTTGCCACCAGTGCAGGCGCTTGCTGAGGGTGGTGGAGTTGCCGGTTGGTAGGCTGGAGTCGGAGTCGTCCGAGTCGGAGTCTGAATCGTCATCGGAATAGTCTACTTCAGTGCTGTTGGAAACAACAGTCTTGTTGGTGACTCGCTCGACCACTGCTCGCTCTTCCACGGCTGGCTCGATTATGACCGTCTTGAATGCGGCTGGCTCGACCACGACTGTCTCGACCACGACTGTCTTATATGCGACTTCTACATCTTGCTCAGCTGTCTGGTTAACAGCAGACTGGGTCTCATTCCATGAAGTCTCCTTGTTCGACCCAGGTGTAGACCTGAAGTTGAGCTTTCCATCTCCAATTGCTGGTCCATAGTGCCGAACTGTCAAGTTGCCCTCGGTGGTCTTGGGCTTCGAGTTGTTGAAGTTGGGCTGCCCGTTGATGAATGCCGGTCCGTGGTGGCGAGTGGTCATATTCCCGTTGTCGATCTTTCTAGTCGAGTTGAGCTTGGGCTGTTTGTTGGGAAAATGAGGCCCGTAGTAGAGAGTGGTTAAATTTCCACGTTTGACCTCTCGAGTCGAGTTGGATTTAGACTTCAGGTTGAACTCAGGCTTTGGAAGAACAACTGAAGATTCATGGTGCCCGGTAGTCAAATTGTCACCAGGCCTGCCCGTCTCATTCAATCCCGCCGTCTGGTTAACGAAGCCCGGGGTATGCCATTTTGGCTCCCTCTTACTGACATACGGGATAGTGTCGTTCGTATAATGCGTCCAATTGCCAGCTCCCGGAGGCAGATTTCGCTTCGGCGGCGCACCACGAATGCACATGTATGAGATGGACATGATTGGGGCATTGGCGTCTCTGGACGGGATGCACGAAGCAATGACATCGCCGGGATCCACAAGAGTGTCGAGATAACGTTCCAAGCAGCCATATTGCGTGTATGCGTAGAAGTAGCAGCCCGTTGCTCCGGCATTGAGTTCCTTAGTCCAGTCGCCCTTGTGCTTTTCCATGATCTTGATGCTCGACGCGCCGAACGAGATCGGCGTGCACTTGTCACGCTTGAAGTCAATATTGCCATAGATGGGTGGCCCGTTGCAGTCGGCCGAGGAGAAGGCATAGAGGCGGAGGTCTTCATGCTTGGCTTGGGCGAGGGCTATGAAGAGTGCGAAGATGGCACTCAGCAAGCGGAACATGCTCGGTGGCTGCTGCTTCGTGTCAGTTTGTAATTACGTCATGTATGAAGACAAAAAGATGATAAAACTATAGTTTTTCCCAAACAGAGTTCTTAGAAGTAAAGAATTAGTTACCTTGACGTTTATGTACGTATTCTGTCAATGGGTTAGCGCGACTGTCTTGCAGTGATTGAAGGAGAAAGAGAGAATGAGTATCACGAACACGATACTCAGATCTCAAGGAAATTCTCACCCACCAAGCCTTTAATATTCTCAGGAATGAGCCCCTGTATGTTCAAGTTGTTTGTAGAAGAAGAAGAAGAAGAAGCAAGACATAGGCGGATCGAAGGAGAGATTTATATGGAAGGCAGTTGCATCTCTTCCTCTTGCAAGCCCTTTCGCCAAGAAACAGGATTCAAACTTTCTCGCAATCCACATGCCCGATTCAACTACTGGTGATGCAATTTCCCTGTACAAGTTGTTGGTACAAAGGGTCTTACAGGGTACTCCACCAACGGGGCGTTGCGATGGAGACACTGAGCACGGGCGGTACCAGTACACACATATGGTAGCGAACAATTTGAAGCCGGAAAAACTCGTTTATTGACAAATCTTATGAATTTCTATTGTTTCGGTAATACATACGTTCTCTGATTGAAAATGAGAGGTGTCTGTGCCGACTTGTGAAGTACGGTTGCATCGTCGGATGGCATCACGAGACGAATAAGTTGACGGGGCCATGTCTCTGGCGTAACAATACAGACGTCCTATAGAGAATGATTTAAACTAAGACTGTCATCATGTCAGACAAATGACTGCTGATGATTGAGTGGTACTGTTGAATTGGTGTAGTCATCATCCCCGCGTTGTTGGCTGAATCAGTGTTGCAGGAATCCACTCTATACCAGAGCAAAGCGTGAGGAAGCAGACAGTGGAAGCAAGTACAATTCAGCTTTTTGGTATAGTAAATGTGGTTAAATCCGTTGGAATTGAACCTCTCCTACATAAAGACAAAACCTGCAAAAATGCTTTCAACGTTCTAAGGTTGTAACAAAATAAGCTTCGTGTGCATGAATAGGCTCAGCCCATAGACTACCATTGCATACCAACATCACAGTCTACTATGTGCAACAGTAGGCGGCTAGTGAAAACAAAGGCAAGACCACGGAACACAGGTGATGCAATGAAATAACGATACTTGCCATCTACTCGCTTTTGAGTCCAGCGCAATGAGTTACTCAGCAGTTCCCCTCCCTAACACATGCGTATTCTGAAACCCGAACGCCTTATACAATCTCAACCAACTCCCACCATGGGCTCATATCAACATGCGAATTCGTGCTTCTACCACTTGTCCCACTCATCGTCCTTCTTTGCTGATCCACCCATGCTACCACTGCCACCGCTCTTCTTCATAGCACTTGTTCCAATACCACTGGGCTTCTTCTTTTCCATAGTCGTGCTGGTCCTTGCTTCACCGGCGCTAGCAAACTCGTCCCAAAAGTCCTGCTTTTCCTTTGCAGGTCCCTTGGGTGCCGCACCAAAGCTTTCCCAAAAGTCTTTGCGTTCGGGTTCGGGAGCGCCACGGCGTGCGGTAGACGAAGAATCGTCTCCTTCAACAAAGCGCGTAAATTGCGTATTAGCAGTTGCGACGCCAGATTGGAGGGTCTGGCCTAGGGTGCCAGCGGTGCTTCGAGCTTGAGCTGCGAGGTCAGCTTCGGCAAGCTAGAGGATAGTTAGTCGCAGGGATTTACTGAATACTGTAGCGCAAAACATGCCTTTGCCATTCCGGGCTTCACCCAGCCTTCATAGCCTGTTTTGCCTACTTTGCTTACGCTGGCGCCCAACCATCCAAAACCTTTGGTAAGCGCAGCAACCGGGTCTTTCTGGAAGTCGTCAAGCGCAGGCGGCGCGCCAGGCTCGTCGTCCTTCTTCCACGAATCCGGTTCGCTGCCAAAGCCACCGTATTTTCCTCCCTGATTGGGCGCAATGCCTTCAGGCCTGTTAGCATTGTCTTGGCCCATCTTCGCAAAGTAGGCTTCGTTCTTGGATTTTTGCGACATGGCGTTTGTACCCAGGGAGGGTGATCCTGAGCGCTGAAAGCCTGTATCACTACCTCGTGCCTTGCCCAAAGGTGTCTGACTTCTGCTCCCTGCTGCGCTGGCTCGTCCACTCAATGGCGCACCCGCACCAGCACCCGCCATAGAAGTATTCTCCTTTTTCGGTAACCGCTTAGGCAGGTTGCTCTTGTCGAACTCCCTGTTCTCAACCTTGCAGCTAAGCCTCTCTTTCCACTCATCGCCCGCCTCTGAATCGTATCGCTCTTGTATGGTTGACGACTCGAATGTGCGTCCTTCTTTCGTGTTCGACTCGTGGCTGTTGAAGAAGTCTTGGAAGGGTTTGTTGCCGCCAGCAGCCATGCGCACCAGTTCTGAGCCTTTGAAAGCGTCCATGGTTATGCTGCGGATGAAGGAGATGTGGACACCTAGACCGCGATGGACGCCGGAGCAGGAGAGACACATGAAGATACCGAGTTTGGGCGAGGCCTAAAACAAGGGGTATCAGTAAGTCTAGTCGCTGCTCGCGTGCCTGGCCAGAAAGCGGGCGGGTGGTTGCGTACCCATTGTGGACTGGGCGCATTGCAGTCGACACACTTGTTGTTGTCGTTTGTCTTTTGGATCTCCAGCAACTGCAAGTAGAGCGAGTTAGCATTTGAATCTTTGCAGGCCCCATTGTTTAACTGTGCTATGCTTCCATCTCCGCATTTGACCCCTAGCACCCCCACCTCCACAGACTGGTATAGTGATCGGCCTACCTTGCTCCGTGTCTCCGGATCCACCTCCCACATTTTGCTCATGATGGGCAACTAGAGATTTATGCGATCGTACAAGAAGATATATTGTCAAAATTGATTGTGGTGTTGGGTGAGAGAGAGTGTCGTGGTCGTGGGTCGCGTTGCGGTCGAGATTCAGGGCACAGGTGGGCCAAAGTGGGAACGCGTGGCGCGTGTGCAGTTGAGCCTCAATGCCTAAGTAACTAGCCAACAGGGGTCGCAGGCACCGGAGAATTCTCACCCCCCGCTCTTTGGGCGTCTATACTTTTCGAGCTTGACAATATGTGGTATCACAGATGCAAAGAATTGAAGTCAGATTTTCTGTCGCATAATTGCAGATGAAAAGGTCTAGTGCGTCTAAACGTCATTACGACCCTCGTTCCACAACTCATCGCTATCCACCCACTGAACCCATATCCAGCCCTCTTCTTTCCCTTCCAGAGTAATTATGTCATTTTCATTACTCTCATTGATGAGAATATCGCGTGGCTGCCACAGAAAATCAACTCCAATTTTTGCAAATGCTAGCTGAATAGCCTTAACCTGCGTTTGGCAGGTGAAAGTACCTAGTAATGGGTCCCAGTCGGCGATTTTCAGTGTATGTAAGGCGGGTAATATAGACTTCATTATTGGCGCGATTCCATGTAATGCGTCAGTAAATGCAGTCGAAGGCTTCAGCTCTTCCCCATCAGGGTCGTTGGCTATGAGGTGAAGATGTTGAAGACGCTTGGGCAGGTGTTGCAAAACACTCGATAGTGATTCGACTGTGGTTTTCTGTAGATAAGAGCCGCACATCATCGTCATATCAAGAAGAAGGAAATCCATGTGTTCAAGCTTGCTTAGTCCTTTCAGTGCGGTCGGATCCAGTGCTAGGCGAAAGTCTTTGAGAAACAGTGATTTGAGTGAATTTGACTGATTTGTGATGGAATGCACAAAATGTGTGATGGTCGTGTTGGCTTCGTCTTTGTCGTGGCCTGTGAATTCAAACTCGAATGTTTTAAGACGACCAAATAATGGCATCAACTGAGCTATTTCTACTGTGTCGGTGCTGCATTTTTGTAGGTGAAAGCTCTCAACCCATGACTTTTCTTTCCGTAGCCTTTGAATGGCTGCATCATGCCCGTACCATTTGAAAGTGCCGCGTAGTACACGGTTCCTATCGTGTGCTACATGGTCCAAAGTCAAAATGCGTAGTGAAGGTACCAGGAATAGAGGAATGACATTACGAATGCGCATCGGACCAACAATATATGCTTTATTAAGATTGGATAGAATTCGAAGACCTAACGACGACGTGAACCAAACCGCGTGGTAATTCCATTTGGAAGGTATCGCAATTCGGATGTCGCATACATCCGGCGCGAATGATAGAAATAAATTCAGATATGCGTCTGTCCCGGCATCCATCAATATTGAATTTAGGTCGTCCGTCTCATAGGGGTTCTTTGAGCCTAACGCTTTTGTGATGTTACGACGTTCTATTGGTGCCAAATCACCAGGGAATCGAAAAGCATCGCTGGTGACCAAAGAATTGTTGTGCACAGGCCTACAATCCCATTCCAGACTCTGGATGCGTCGTGCGTGGGCAGGCCAGGACGCAAGGGTACGTATAAACAGTGCTGGGTTTCCGCGATCCAAAGAGTACGTGCTGTACAGGAGCTCGTTGGTAAGGCGATGCAAGCGTCGGTTCACCAGGCCAATGTTTAAGACTGTACTGAATGCTTCGAGAAACAGCTGCTTGATGATTTCCAGTAACAATTCGTTTGGAAGAGCCTCCATGATATATGATATAGAGGCTATGCGAAGAAGAAAGGCTAACGACTACCCCAAGTACAAGCAATGAGCTATTAGCGTCTTGGCAATCATCACAAATAATGGAACTTGTCAAAATCATATAGAATGCATAGTGATGATCTATTAATGGATAGGACGTGTTTATCTGCAATAAAATATTGAAGGGTGATGTGTACATTCAGTTACAGACTGGTGATGCAGTTGCGTGGTATCCGTACTCACGCAACAGTCCCATTTCTCACCTAATTAGGAACAATTTCTTTTTCTTTCTTTCTCTGCCTCGCTATCTGCCATTGGGTTATGGCCTGTGTCCCATGTGCTATTGCAGCAAGGCGCTTTTGTGTAATCTCTCCCGCCTAATATAAATATGTACATTGTTGTCCAACGAAATTGCAGCCAAAGGAAGAATATAGTACATAGGCTCCGGTGCCTTAAGGATGTATAAAGAAAACAGACGGACGAGGTCCTGGCAATGAACTGTCGCAAGACTAAAGACGATAATGAAATGGAGTTGACGTCAGTGTATCGCTGCTTAAACATTACGCCTGGCTAGTGCGAAAAGAGCACGCTTGTGTGTTCGTGAGTCGTGCCCCAACTTCTGTCTGAGGATCGCTGGGGCTAGATTCGAATTTTTGGTGTTGTTCTGGGGGCGCTTCGCATTTTGGTCAAGTGCCGATCCAGATGTTGCATGGAATTGTGGGTTTAAAGTCTCGTACGCTCTACGGATCGGGATTCCGTACGTTCAGCTGGCGACCGTAGTCCCGGCTGTCATCAATGCTGCCTAAGCTTTCTCGACTTAGGTTCGCACCGTGAAAGGTGAGAACAGCAGCTGGGTTGAGGCGAGAGTCGACTAAAATCGGTTGACTTAATCTGCGGCCTGATGGAGTGATGGGTGTTATCGACTCTTCATTCGATCGGCTGCGTTGTGAACCAAAAGTTGTGGTAAGGGGTGTGGGTGACTTCTCAGCACGTCCTCCAAGCAAACCAGCTCTGCTCATGGTGCTGACGTTGCGTTGGATGCCGCCACCGCCTTCTTGCTCCTCGCGCTGTTGCCTCCTCCTCTTCCACAAGACAAAGAAAACAATACCAATGATGGCGAGTAGACCAATGATGCCACCAGCTACGCCACCAGCAATAGCACCTACGTTGGGTGAATCTTTTGAGTCATTGTTTGTAGGGGCAGGGGCCGATGGTGTTATGACGACAGTGCGGGTGATGACATTTCCACTTTCGGTAACTAGAGTCGGCACTGTGACGGGCTCCTGGGTCCGGGAAGGAGCTTCCGTAGACGATGGTTTCTTGGTCTGTAGCAGATGTTAGTTTGGTGTAACAGGCCAGGTTGGAAGCGAAGTACATCAGTGGAGGACGAGGACGAGGACGAAGATGGAGACGGAGAAGAGTCTGGCTTTGCAGTGATTGTCGAGAAGACAGTCTCTGGTTTCTGCGTCACAATGCTCGTTACCACTTGTGCAGGAGGTGGAGCATACTACCAGAAGGTCAAACACCGATAGCTTGTAATTGTGCACGTACAGCCAAGGGAGACCTTGAGGTAAATTGACTAATGAAAGGAAAGGGGGCAGGGTTGAGGAGATAAAGAAATGAGGTACTAACAGTAGGTTGTTGTGATTGTGGTTGCGATTGCGGTTTTTGAGTTTGCTTAGAAGGTGCAGCCGCGGTAGAGGAGGGCTTTGAACCTCCCTTAGTACCGGATGGCTGGCCGTCCATTTGAACATAGATGTAAAGATCTTTATCTTTGCTACCGCATTTCTCGTCGGGGAAGCCAGGGCAGTCCTGCAGACAGGCGCTAGAGCTTGCTGTGTCTCCGGGCACATAGTTGGAACACCAACAGTCGGTGTATTTTATAACAGCAAACGCCCATGAACCTCCTTCCTCCTTGCAATGGTTGGTACAGTTACCATTAGACTGGTATGGCCAGGTATCTGGCAGGTTAGAGGCTGCATGACGTGCAGGACGACCAGGAGAACTTACAGGCAGTGTTTTGCTCTCCAGTGTTTAGTGAAGAGCAGTATGAATACGTCCAGTCTGAAGCACCGGCAGGCTGTATGGAGAGCAAGAGGGTGGAGAAGGCGGCAAAGCCAAAGAGCGTTGACGTGAATCGGTTGTCCATTGTGAAGTCTAGGGTCGTGGACAGGGGGGTATGTCGACAAACGTCGAAGTTTGCGCAAGATTCGGGGTGTCACTCGGCGACGTGAATGAGGCAGATGCGGTGGCGTCTTTGAGCGCAACAGAGAGGGCGCTGAAAAGGAAAAGCGATTGGATGCCCCCGTATTCGGGAGGGCGTTACAAGGCGAACGAGGGAGACAGTGAAGACAGAGTAGATGAAGCAGGCGGTAGAAAGGTTTTGCAGGCGGGGTGAGGGTGGCTGTGGTGTGAGGTGGTACAGCCTTTGGTCCGTCGGCCGGCCGGTCGCTGAATCCTGGCTGGGACTCTTCGACGCGCTCTCGAGACTGCAGGTGAAAGGTGCAGTGAGCGGGTGCAAGAAGGTAGCAGGGCGCGAGAGAGAGAGAGGGAAAGCTTCTGTTGGCTCAGACTGTGGTTAGCATTGCTGGCCTTGGTGGGTTGTCGAACGGGTGTGGGCTGTAGCACAGCGGATTGTAGGCCAGGAAAAGGCTCTGTTGGGAATGGAGGCTGGTGGAGCGGCGTACTTACGAGCGCTAAATCGATACCAAGGTCTGTGCTGCTGCTTCGAGCACTATCCACGTCCTGATCCCTCCCGCTTTGGCCTTTAGTTCCTCCGCCTCTTCCGCACTGGGCACGCTGCCTGACTCGAGCTGCCGTGTTCCTTGTTTTCCGCCAACAATGTCCGACTCCGTACTTGAATGACGGGCCAGGGGGTGGTGGATGAGTTGGGTTAGGTGCTTGTGGTTAAATGGTGCCCTATAGGTCGTATAACAGGCTCCTCGCCACGCCTGAATTCACGACAAATGCGAGTGCCCTTGGATGGGGGGATACACAGACCGGAGACGAGTTTGGGATCTGTTGTTGCTTTTGCTGCAGTGGTGCTACTGTGCTTAGTGGCGCCGCGGCGGCGTGTTTTCCGGAAATGAAAGCACTATGTCAAACAGAAGGATCAAAGGTAACCGTCAGGGCGGCGCCGCATTGATGGCTATGTATAAACGAAGGGCTTCTGGTCTGCGTCGACAGACAAACGAGAGTAAGGGTCAAGTACGACAACGAAAGTGTGAAGAGACAAGGGAAAAGATGGAATGGTTGGGTGCCGCACGGCGCAGGACTGGCAGCGTGTTTTGACTGTGTGCGATGTGTGCTGATCACCTGGCACGGCGCAGAATTAGCACGGTGTGGTGGGTGGCGTTGGACGGCGAGCCAGTCCTCGCAGCAAATATCAGAAGCAGGAGTTGGCACCATCTACGACGATTACTTAGTTACTTTCTTACATGAGCCAGGCCGTTGCATGCAGGCTGCAGGCTGCAGGCTGCAGCAATCGCAAGGGCCTGCACCAGGGGTCGCGATCGATGGATGCCTCACCCAACCAACGGGCGTATCGTTGCACGCGCGCCTCTTGCACCACCTGTCCTCGACCTCGACAGACTGCCTTGACAGACAAGACCTTTGCTTACCGCGTACTTAGCCAGCACACCTCCTGCGCGACTCTTTGCAACCTGTTGAGGCGCTCGACTGACAAGAAGGCGCCGGGCCGTTGACACTCTCAAGCAACGGCGTCAAGCCTCGTCCCTTTCTCCACCACTCACACAGCCAATGCCCTGCCCTCGCCCAACATGACAGGGCGACACGCCCGCCCAAGACGGCCCATAGCAGCATGCCAGTCTTCGGCATGTACAACACCCGACGGTTTTGCTTATCAGCAGCTGTCAGCAGCATGAATTCAGCACGCCCACGCGCTCCGGGACTACAGCTGTGGATGGCATCCATAGGCAGTTATCTTGCCTCATTTCTCCCTTGGATTGATTGTTAGCCTGCCCGCCTAAACAAACTGGGACTGACGGCAGCCTTGGCACTAAAGGGTCGTCCGGCCAAGTGCCCGCGAGCCAGCCACCGCACGCGCGCATACGCGGCCTGGGACCCATTGTCTCTTTGACCACGCTCGCTCGCTCAATTCGCTTCTCTTTGGCAGAGGCTCGGGCAGATCACGTCGAGGATGGATTATGACGCAAGCCCCCGTCCGCTTGTGGCCAATGAGGCGTCGGCTGCCTCCGCCTAAGCGATGCTCCTCGCAACGCTAGGCTCAGTGCAAACTCTCCAGTATCGATAGCGCGATCGGCAGGAGACCTGGTCAGCGCTACGCGTCTGGATTAATTATGGATCAAGAGGCGATACTCTGCACAAAGAGATGAGGATTGTCGTCCCCGGTACATGTTGAAGCTGAGCCCCGACAGCCACTGCCGTCATCGCCTCGCTGGTGAGACGACTGCGCTTTTACTTCCTCGGTCATGTTTGCATCAGTCCTGCAGCAGCGCGAACGCCAAACTCAACGGTAGAGAACAGGTCAGCACCCCTAGGCATCCCAGGCATCCCAGGCATCCCGCACGCACTCGGTACCTGCGTGTCTTAGCTCAGCACGGGAATGGGCCTGCCAAGGGTGAAACTGGACAAACCCCACGATGCGAGTGAGATACGAAAAAGGTACTGGTAGTCTATTTATTGTCAGGTCGTCATCACAACCCTAGCATCTAATACTATTGAACGCTACCGCCCTCTCCCGCTTCCGTCCAATTCCTGCCATCCCGGCCGCCAGAGGGTCGCCTTGGCATCCTCCGCCGAACCATGCCATCCTGGCAGCGACATAACCATTGAACCCTGACAGCAACAACTCTCCTATGGCTAGTAGCAGATGAATACGCAGAGCAAATTGTTTTGTCTGTGTATCTTGCTTTACGACAAATCCGCTCAGATTGCTCGTAAACAATTGTAGCCTCAATTCACATGAAACGGTGCAAGCATGGTTGGATAAAGTCTGGACCGCGACCATTTGCGCTCACGCCATATGGTGGCAGTTTATCTCTTGCGGTTGCCCATGGTGACTTCTGTTCTCAGGCTGCAAGGCTGCCAGGCTGAGAACCATGTCCTGCGACAGCATCCCCCTAAATCACGTTACTGCATCGAGTCAAGTACTGGACGCCATGCCAAAGTCGTCTACTGCGCGAATATCCAGCGCGTTTGTTTCCTCGAGAATCCGTGTCAGTTCCAACAAGGGCACACGCTGTTTGACAGTATCACTTGGCGGAAAGTGGACATGGCCTGCGAGGTTGAAGCATGTTAAACAATGTGGACCTAAGAGCAAAGCAGATTGACACGGTAATGTCCGTATACGGGATGAATATTCCAAAAAGCAGGGCATGATAGGAGATTCCGGAACAAACGTTACACCAGTCGCCACTCCATAGCCCCCAACTCATTGCAAAACCTCAAAACACCTCTTCTTGTATCTACTCGGTCACACACACGTTATCTTTCCATGCCCCTATTTACGACATCTTTATCGTCCGTAGTCCGTCTAAGCACCATCACCCCATAGACCAACGACCTGCATTGCGAATGCCACTCCCGCTAATCCCGTCTTGATCAACTCGGTCCTCTGTCTCCTCTCAACAAACTCTCTGACCTCTTCACCGTTGACCTCCTCGCCCTGCGCCTCTAGCTCCATAACCTGCCTCTTCTCGTCTGATCCTTCCATGGCAGTCACAGCGTAGTCGACACCCGGACCAGAGATGAAGGCGAAGATGGACGTGTAGAGCAGATAGGGGTGGCGGAAGCGTCGCGGCGACAGTACATAGGCGGAGAACAAGGTAAATGTAGTGACATGGCGGAGATATGATGATAGCCAGGAAGACTGCCTGGACAGGTAGGCAAGTGAAGTACGTGCGTTTGTGGCAGTGGGAAGGGCGAGCAGTGCGGGGAATGCGGTTGTGGAGAGGGTTGCTGAGACGCCCTGAGGATTGTCAGATCTTGAATGTCTCTTTCTTGTTGCTACAGTCCCTGATGCATCAGCTGCACAGGAATGACGCCCTGGCACCTCACTCCCGCAGCAAAGCATCCATCACGTAGCCAAGGTGGCGGGCTTGTTGCACACATACCGTCGCGATTCCCAAGGTGATTGTGCCGACGAATTTACATATCGACACTGTCTGGGCTGACATTGTGATGGCGGAAATCGTTCCAATGGCGTATGATACCCAAGTCTTCTCTGTTGTGGTGGTGATCCGTCTGGTGATGACGATGACGATGATTCAGCCTGCTCCGAGTGCTGGCATGCAAACTGCGGAGCTGATGCGGAACCTGTCCCGGTGGTCCAAGCTCTCTCTCGTGCCCGCAGACCAAATGCGGAGGAGAGCACATGCGAATGCAGCCCGCCTGTTATTACCGCCAATAGAAAATTGACACCCGAAAACTACATGGTTAAAGTGTGCGATAAAAACGTTAGCTGACACCGCATTTTGCTGATTTTACTTCAACGCTGCGAAAAAATATCTCGAGTGGTCAATGTCTTACCAGAGTGCCTTTCCTCGAGGATTACTAGCTTACATCGTACGTACCTCGGCTCCCCGTGAGCGCAACATACATTACACCGGTCACCGATCGCTGCGGCCGTAACCTTCACTCCATGCGAGCATCTATATACTTCTAGCTACTTGTGACTTTAGACGTGTAACTTCTCTTCTTCTTTCAAACACAGTTCCTGTTCATCGTGCTCTTCCTTGCCTACTACACTTTCTCCTCGAGTCTCGAACACAAACACCAAGACCATAACAAGACCAAACTACCAGCTTGGAAAACACCACACACCATGCCTGCAGAGAGATATTCATACATGAGCAATGTCTGGAGAGACGGCATCTTCGGTATACTCTCCTACAACACCATTACCTTCTCCCAGAAACTCTATCCCGCTAACCCTTCCCACCACCAGACAACAAAGTCCTCTTCTGCACCGGTGGCGCAGGCTCCATCTGCAGCGCCCAAGTCCGCGCAATGGTCGCCCTAGGCGCAAACGCCTGCATCGTCGGCCGCAACGTCGAGAAAACCGAAGCCATGGCCCGCGACATCGCGACCGTCCGCTCGGGCGCAAAAGTCCTCGGCATCGGCGCCATCGACGTGCGCAAGCCGGAGCTCCTCCAACAAGCCGCAGACCGTTGCGCCAAGGAACTCGGTAGCATCGATTTTGTAATTGCAGGTGCGGCGGGAAACTTCCTCGCCTCCATCGACCAGCTCTCCGCAAACGCAATGAAGAGCGTCATCGATATCGATGTGTTGGGCAGTTACAACACGGTCAAAGCTACACTCCCGTATCTCGTCGAGTCCGCGGCTAAACACCGTACAAATGGTACCACGCAGCCTGCGAATGGGACGGGCGGCCGTATCATCTTCGTGAGTGCTACGCTACATTATACGGCGACGCCGCTGCAGGCGCATGTCGGTGTTGCAAAGGCCGGTGTAGATGCCATGGCTATGTCTGTGGCTATTGAACAGGGGCCCAAGGGTATCACGTCGAATGTTATTGCTCCAGGTCCTATTGCTGGTACAGAGGGAATGGCGCGGTTGGCAAAGGCTGAGGCGAATAAGGCGGATAGTAAGGCGGCAAAGACAGTGCCTATCGGGCGCTGGGGTACTGTCAAGGAAATCGCTGATGCCACGGTGTTTTTGTTCTCCGATGCGGGTAACTTTGTAAACGGAGAGACGCTTGTTGTCGATGGAGGCGCCTGGCATACTGCTGGCTTTAGCGGCGGCTTCGAGTACCCGGATTTCTTGCTTTCTGGTGCTCCTGTTACTGGCGTTGCGGGAGGAAAAAAGGCAAAGTTGTAGAAATAATGTTGTGAATGTATGATTGAGATGTTGTCTGTATTAAGATCACACCCATGGACTTCATATGTGCTTACATGTTCCAAAACCTCAGAATTAAACAACTTATTTTCTTGCTACTATTTTGATCTAGATAATATATCTACGGCGTAGGCAAAACAAATAGTTCGCCTAAGTAAATGGTTGAAGCTGACAAGTAAAGTTTGCTGGACATGCCATTCGAACAGAGATCAGATGAAAGCTGTTTGGTGGTACTTTTATATGTAGGGAAATACGTAGGAGCATGTAAAAAATAAAAACAATACCTATTAGTTACAGACAGGAAATCCTACACTCGAATGAAGAAATTTGCAAAACGAAAGTATAGGGCCAAGCATCCACCCAGTTCTTCCCAACGCGCCGCCCTCGACCCAGAGCAATTATAGAAAAGCAAAAAGAACATGTCCGACATAGCTGCTCTCGGTTTCGATCCGAGGTCCTCCGGGTTATGAGCCCGGCGCGCTTCCGCTGCGCCAAGCAGCTTTTTCTGTTGAACTTGATTTCAGGATGGAAAAACCTAAAACTAAAATATATATAACCTGAATACGTCAAGATAGGAAATAAATGTGCAAAGTGGAAGATGTTAAGCGAGTGTGGGGACAGCGGTACCAACGTCTGGAGTTATCGGCGCGCTAGATGTAATTTAGTTAGCCTTGAAAACGTTAAAATAATCATCTTAGATCTGTGTCTACATATAAAGAAAAGAGTTAACGTTAGGTAACATATTTAAAGTTATTTTCTCCCAGCGTCGCCATCTCTTCAGAAGCAAACCCCTTCCAAGCATCCGCAGCGACCACTACTGCACCACACTTACCTAGGCCGCAACGAAGCTGCATCCTGCGGCTCAATAACTATCCTTCTGAGATCCATTCACTCCATTCTGCGCCTCACCTTACGGAATATCTCTTAACGTAGAAGAGACTACATATCTCCAAAGTAACACATAGTTCCAGGCTCTATTGTCAGGATAGTACAAGAAGCGAAAAAGACACCCTTCCGTACGTACATAGCGAGACGTTGTGTTTTCGTGCCTTCAACTATGTAATGTCCATCCCTGAGACCCGGGACGCACCCCGAGGCGAGACGGTTTTGCACTTCGGACCTCCGGAAAACTGAACGCGCAGGTCAATAAATTTGTAGTTTTTGTACATGAATCTATACTATTACCCCTTCATCTAGACAGCCTCCGAACAAGATCCATGCAAAATTGAACATGTCGCTGATCTTTTTCTCAACGCGGTTGGACCCCTCCTTACCCCTCAACCACTGTCTAAACGCGATTTTACATTTCTATGACATGTTCGGATATCTACAAAGAAAGTTTAGGAGTAAAGTTTTATTGTCCTAGAGTTTAGCACTACCTGATAGCCAAAATTGTGGATGCCGGCAGTTTCGCCGTGCGGAGAAGGAGATGCACAGAAGCCTCCCTGGGTAGCGAGATGCGTTTTATTGAATTGAAATGATAACATAATGCTGTAATAAATTCAAGCGCTATTCCCTCTTGCTCTTGGTCTCTAAAAATAGATGTGGCGCGTGTTGTGGGTCTTGGAACAGGAACGAGTCCTTTGTTGCCCCAATGCCTCCCTCACGACCCCTCCAAGTGACGAGGGATCATCTGCACTGTAGACTGTTACTAACCACCATGGATAAGGCAAGGCAAGTGTTAGCACAAGGCGTCCCTCCTGGCGTGCGTAGATCATACCGTACCCTGGCAGACCACGGCGGAGTCCCTTGTAGTACCCTCCATCATCGTGCCCAAGGCCGTCCTTCGATGCAGGACAAGGCACAGAGCCAGCAGTACCTGACACCGTGGGAAGAGAGCGCACTCGTCAAGTTCATCTTACACATGTCAGATCTCGGACGGCCCGTACGAATCAAGCACATTCCCTCGCTCGCCTTTGTCGCTACCCGCGGTCGGTCCGTGACGAACAGACCCTCCAAGCCCCCAGGCAAAAACTGGGCAAAAGCCTTCGAGAAGCGCCATCCAGAGACGGCAGCGAGACGCGTCACGGCGCTAGACTGGAACCGACATGAAAACAATATCGCCGATAAGATGACACACTGGTTCGAGGTGATTGGGGAGGTACTGCGCGATCCAGCTATTGTAGCCGAGAATGTATACAACATGGACGAGACCGGGGTCATGCTATCTATGCTTGGCTCGGTAAAGGTGCTCGTAGGTAAGGATGATAAACGAAGCCATAGAGGCGCGCGCGTGAAGCGAACAATGGTGACTGCTATCGAGTGCATTAGCGCTGACGGTAGGTACCTAAACCCGATGATTATTTGGCCGGCTACTACCCACCGTAGTAACTGGACTACCTTTCCTACTCCTGGATGGCATTATGCGTGCAATGAATCCGGATATACAGACTCCAACATTAGCTTGCAGTGGCTCAAGCGTGTGTTTGATCCTGAGACTAAGGAACGTGCTGGTGGGAGACCGCGTGTACTGATTCTTGACGGCTTTGGGACACATGAGACGCTTGAGATCCTAGAGTACTGTTTTGCAAACAGCATCATTTTGTGTCGTCTGCCCTCTCATACGTCTCACAAGCTTCAGCCTTGCGACGTTGCTGTATTTGGCCCACTGAAGACGGCCTACCGTGAACAGGTCGAACGATTGGAGCGAGGCGGCGTCAACGCTATCGGCAAAGAGCATTTTACCTGTCTATACAAGCCGGCTAGAGAGCGAGCATTTACAGCTAAGAATATCAAGGCTGGCTTTGCTGCAAGTGGTTTGTTCCCGCTCAACCCAGACAGAGTACTCAGGACTGTGCCGAAACCTCCAGTCGAAGTAGCTCCTGCAGTGACTAGCGAAGCATCTTATCAAGAAGATGCAGTGCTACAAACGCCTATAACGCCAGTGTCAGCAGACGGTCTTTTGTTGCTGCAAAATCTCATCTTGAAGAAGGACGCACATGCTCTTGACGAAAATAGCCAGCGGAACTTGCAGCGACACTTGCTGAAACTCGCCAAAGCTGCCCAGTTGTCGTTAACTAAAAGTGCTCTCCAGCAAAACCATATCCAGCTCTTGATGGCGGTCAACAACGAAGCCAAGTCTCGACGATCAACCAGAGCCGACATACTCGAGAAGGGTTCCGGGCAAGTGTTTAGCTATGAGCATCTCCAAGATAAACGGCTGAAGCGAGCGGAAGAGGCGGCAGCCAAAGAAGCTAAGGCTAAAGCTAAAGGGAAGCGCGGTCGGAAGAGCAAGAATGCTGCGCAGGAGACAGTAGAAGCCACGGCGTCCACAAGTACAGTGAGGCGTGGCAGAAAGCGAAAGAGTACTGAGGTAGAAGGAGATGCTGGCCCACCGGTGCCAAAAAGCAAGGCTGTAAGAGTGAGCAATGTCCAGGGAATAGCGCCAGTTGCACGAATGTATTAGATTAGGATAGTTAGTGATGACAATACGGAGTATTTGGTTATGTTGTTTAGGGATATGCTTATTTGCAACAGCGTCAGCAGTCAGTACAGCCACAGTAACGTCCCCCCCTGCGACACGCAAGTCCCCCCATGCCGCAAAGAATCTGCGATTTGAGTATCTTAAAAGTCGCGCTATCGCTAGTATTGCTCCGCGATAATGAAACACTTATTCTTAAGGTTATTCTCTACAAATTCAGAAGAGCGGTTAGAAATATTACCGGGTGTTTGGTCCTGTCGTCGCCCATTGCGTATCGGCCGGTCTAAGGTTGATTGGCTTCACACTCCTGTCATAGCACGATATATGCACCATTTCTACATATCAGTGGGACTAAACGATACTAATTTAATAATTAGCAAACTAGTTAAGGAACCGATTCGCGCTAGACTACAATGGGCGAGAATCCGGGTCTAATCCGCGTTGCATACGTGCGTTTTTGGATCAGGGTGTGTAATTATTCAATTACGATGGATTAGGGTCAAATCCACGTAGCATCATATACTAGGTGTTTCTGATGTCTCACGCACTCCCATATGCCTCTGAGCGACACTTCCCACCAGTACTGATCCGACAGTCTTACTCGCGCCGTTACACTTTTCTCTTGGTGAATTCGCTATGGAAGACTAAATTTTCCCCTGCCATATGCCAATCATAGATATTCTAGTAACCTTTGAAATCATGATTGACATCCTTCCAGGTAGATCTGCGGATTATCGTCTATCATCTTTTGAACCCCTGCTGGAATCTGAATGCCGCAATCATTGAAATACTCGAATAGGCTCTTCAGTCCACGTAATGCACCTGCAATAATAGGCTTTAATTTGGAGTTCACGAAGCTGATTTGGTTGGCATCGAACGGCCTTTTGTGGTTGAAGAGTTCAATTGCCAGTGCCGTTTCACTGCTATTGAGCTGTTCGGCAAAAGCCCCATCGTCATAGGCTCCTGCCAATTGCGGGCATTGGCGGAGAAACTTTCCAGCGCTGCTCGCGCTGTGATGGCTTATCATGTCTTCAATTTCATTCCGCGCCGTTGTAATGATACTCTGGTCTTCGAGATCAGGGAACGCGTCGAGAGTGAATCGCTCTCTAATGACCTCTTCTAGATATGTAAAAGCGCTGTAGTATGCTCCAGTGCCGCCACGGTGATGTCTGTACAAAGCATCTCCGTATTCATCAAATCGGCCAAGTTTAGTTGAGAAGTAGGGCAGCGGATCGTTAAGATCTCCGAGACCAATAGCAACTATCCAGCCAGCGCGTTTGAGATTACCTTTCTCAAGGCTCGGAAACTCGAACGTCACATTTGCAGTATTCGTAACTTTCGTTTGGTACCAGGGGGGATAACCGTGAACGATAATGCGTCGATATTCGTCAATATTTCGCCGGTAATAGGAATGATACGGGTTGAATTGAAAGAATTGGATGTGCGCTAAACAGACATTTTTCTGTCGCCGAAATGTAGCACATATCCTCGAATCCCACCTGCATGTCTGTCCACCACTTCCATTGTCTTCACTGAAATGGAGAGGCTCGACCCCAACACTGAGTAAACAAATAAATATCGTCTGAGCGTCCGTAAGGAAATAATCCTTCTTCAGTGATAATTGAGACAGATTCTTCGGCAATCGTCTGGGAACCGGCATTTCGAGAACATTGAAAATATAGGGGAAGGATTTCCAGCAGTTGCCACATGCGTAGTGACTAAACGGTCCTCTGTCCGTTGGCAGCGAACCTGGTGGAGGAATGTTTCTGTGTAGATATTCGGCTTGAGAGATATCAGCGTCGTTGAGGGATCGCTGAAGGACAGATGTCGATTCCGGAAACCTTATTTTGTATACGTAGTCCGATGCATATCGATACCCTAAAGCGATGGCTGTTTTGGCCATGAATGCAAATGTCACGATTCCAATTACGGCTGTTCCTACAGCGCCTGGATCCCATCCTGCTGTTGACATATTTGAAAGCGTTGTCAGACTGTCCAGACCTTTAGGCCTAGTGTGACACCAACCACAATAGTATCCTTTATCGTTGAATATTTTAATCTGGCACTAGCTTAGGGTTTAGCGAACCAACAGCGTATATGTTGTACCGAACGCTCTGCAATGAAGGTCGGATTCCGTGGTTGTCTGTAAAGTCCGCTGCACTCGGCCCTTGCGAGGGTATGATGGCGCTTGGGTGGGTCTCTTGCTTGGTTAGCGGAGGGGTCAACTGCGTGTCTGCGGGGCCCGAAGGCAACGTAATAGATATTACGGAAGCTACCACAGAAAACGTAGTCGGTCCTTGGATGACATCTGAAAGTTGTATGACGGCTGTGTCGGAAGCTGATTACTTTTTCGTGGTGTCGCAGTTTCGGAGCCGTATGCGTTCGTTGACTTTTCGCAAGCGCTGGAGCCTAGTGGGCACTACTCCTAGTCCAAATCTGGATTTATGATACACTCTCATGCAGTTGCAGCTTCAGGTTTCTGTAAGCAGGCGACCTCTGATCCCACGCTAAGCCTCTGTCGCTTAGTGGCAACCTCGCCCAAATAGTATTAGTGTCTGTCATCAATACGTCTTCTTTTAAGCTTTCTGACCAATCAACGCATGATGCTGATGTAGTCTAACCCGCTTTAGACAAGCGTACATCAGGCGGATCCGTGTCCTGCGTGGGATGACAATTGGGCTATGTGCGCAAAGCGGAAGCTGCAAGTGCATGAGAGTGTACGGAATTTGGGCCTTTGCTGTTAAGCCAACGAGGCGTTATCGTAATACAAGTGCACGAGAGATTGTGATTATGAGGGCAAAGCTGACTACCACGTGATCTTCGACTTGCTGACAAGATTCTAGGGCTTACACAGCCACAGGGCTTTAAAGCCACAAGCTTGGCGCGGTGAGAACTACGCCGTAGACGGTCTTATACTAGCCATATGCGGATGCTGCTCGCTGGAGAAGTACCGACAGGGGTGGCGATCATGCATGGATATGAGCGCCACGCTGCACCAAGGGCTAGGATTGGCTCTGCAGCATGGCCGAAGGTTTCCTTAGTGCATATAACTTCATTACTTAGTATGGGGGTGCAATAGAGCGAGATGGAGGTTATTTGCAGTGGTGTCACAGCTAAGCTCTAGAAAAGACATCTTTTGCGCATCAGCGCGGATTCATCAGCAATAGCATATTTTCTGTAAGAAAAGGTGTCTACACCCATAGAAGAAGGTAAAAAACATAGCCAATCTATGAAGAAATTTTAAAAACAGCGCGTTAATAGAGATATCGTATCCCAACGATGAAGTAGTCCTCTTTTCTTGCGGCACGAGGGGGATTTGCGTGACGCAGGGAGGGACGTTAGTCACATTAGTGGCTGAAAGTAAATTACACGCTATCTGTATTATACGTGCAAGGCTCAACCTGTGCTAGCCGCATCAGGAAGCTGCTTCGATCTCAAGTACCGACCAGGGTGGCAATCGGGCATGAACAAGCGTGCGACAACCGCCACAAGGCTGGTGGTGACTTCATATACCTATAGGGACATGCAGAAACCCAGATAAGATGGTTCATCACCTTAACAGACTCCTAGGCGTCAAGCGTCATGCTGTATAGCATGGGCTTGGATTTTGACATAATTAAAGGCTTGACTGCGCACGGCGTGTAGGCGTCAACGACGATGTAATTTTTGTATTTTAAAGTATAGAAGTAGGCTGAAAAAGGCTAAGAAGCTATTAATAGAAGATTGTAGATTATTCACACGCGCTTGGAAGATTATGATTCCTTGATCTCAAAGTACCTGGTATTCGTCTCGCGACGGGGTGCGTCTCGTGACTTAGGGATGGACGTTAGATCTGCTGGATTCGATTTTCCTTGTCCTTTCTCTGACAGTGAGAGCTTTTTGGGTTGCGAATGTATCGTTGAGCTAAGATATGAATATACATGTAGCCACAGAGTCTGCATCTTGCTGCAGAAGCCGGAGCCGATATCATGACGGATATACAACCCTGTTGCAGACCTTTCAGCGAGTGTCTCATTCAGGGGTTCTTTAGAAGGCCGATATAGGGATGGAGGAGGAGGTAGACATTATTCAAAAGCGGGTTCCTTCTTATACCCGCTATGTTGGCTCTTCACCATCTGTTCGATCCTATCAACTGTACATAAAAGGTTGTGTTTCGAGGTTATAAGGTAGTCCTTCAATACCTCATTTATTTCTTAAACAGTCAAGCTTGTGACCGTGTTATAATGGCAATGGTGAGAGGTCAAAGCAGCTGCCCGATCAATATATGTAAGGTACTGATTCTCTTGCTAAATTCTTTGCTTAAACAAGGTAAATCCATCTAATACACAACCATATGGTAGAGCATAGAAGAAGTTTCTTCAACACCAAACCTATCCCAAAACACAAGCCAGCAAAAAAACCATGCAATAGAACCTGCGAAAAAAATTCAACTCCTCCTCTACTAACAACACAAGAAAACCGATTCCCCTTCCTAAGCTATAACCCTAAACCCACCACAAGCACCCCCACCCAGCCCAAAACACCTCCACTTTATCCCACTACCACCATATTCATTCGTTCCCGTACACCGCCCAAACGCATTCCACACAAACGCCACGGATAAATCTTTGGCATCCTCGCTAGAATCCAAGATACACGCCGAGCTTATCCCAAACGGATGATTACTCATAATCTGGCACTCGCCGTTGACATTGGTTCACTAGAACCTTTGTGTAAATCTGTGCATACATGGGTTTGAGATGCTAGGGAGGCTTGTCCATGAATAATCAATATGACCTGCCTTTTAATACCAAGAAATTTCTATCACTAAGATAACTACATCGTAGTTAGTTCTCATGAAACCTCGCACATCAATTGAGAAATACGAGATTTAGCTTTTTACTTGCTTTACTCTGGTCTATCCATATATCGAGAAGAAGAAAAAATGCGCTCAGATAGCGTGCTTTACGGACAGAAATACAGTAGAATTGTGGTCTGATAGACAAATTGCCTTGACAGCATAAGAAGCCTTTTTGTATCTAGAAGTTGACGCAGTTGAGCGGCAGTAGATAATCTGGGGGGTAGACTAGTGATGGCGCGCGGAATTGGAGCGTGACTTCGAGAGGCCAAGGACGCTTGCATACAAGTCTTGAATTTGAAGTAATGATTTAGGAGGCAAGGTTCCGTTGTTGAGAAATCAGGATACGGCTTATGGCGAGATTGATATCGTGTTTGCAGCGAACACAATCTCCGTAACTCTCAAGTTACTGGCAGTGCAAGCATAAGCCCGTATTTTTACATATGTACTAACTTAATTGCTGAGAGAGATAGGGCTGGTTTTAACTATTGCCCAATTCACAATAGGACTACTTTAATGCTCATTAAATATGAATAAGTTTAATACCTAGTAGAAAGAAAGCCATACAAAAGCCATAGAAATTACATAAGCGTATACGCGACACCAATTACAACGTATTTCATGTAACACTACCCTCCTTAGTTACGACCGTAGGTACCAGGTAGCTCGTCTCCCATAGGGATTGGCACTGAATAGTAATTGTCCTAAAACACCACGCTAATATCCCCCAAAAATGATACAAGCTGCCAAATATGCATGAAACCCTGGTATGAAAATGATAATAACGAAATTCCTGATGGTCATGTAAAAAAAAAGGCTCACAGAGCAACTACCGTGAAAAAGCACCTTCAGCATCATCACCCAGGCCTCTAAATGCAATCCGCCCATTACTCCTCAGAACCTCACACACCGTCTCAGCACTAAGTTCGTACCCGCTCTTACGCCAGCGCGCGTTGAGCCAGTCCGCCAGCGCATCCGCACTGCAACTGAATCTTCGCGTGTCCCATTCATGCAGAATAAGATCGACAATGGGCTGATCGGGGAGCGGTTCTGGGTTGGGGTCTTGGAGCGGCACCGACGAAAGCGGCATGGGAAGGGCGCGGGGCGGGAAAATGTTTTCGTATGCGGTTAGGAAGTGGAGGAGTGTGTGTTCGGTGTGTGGACGTGAGGCGAGCGTGATGCCAAAAGGTTGGCCGTTGAGTTTGAGAGCGGACAGTGGACACGCGGCAGTTGGGTATCCTGCCGCTGCTGCAAGCGTTGACAATGCGGCATCTCCGGGTGCCATGATGATATCGAGAGAGCGCGAGGCGAAGAGAAAGTCGAGGCCTTCAGGTCCGCCGGCGGTCTGAAGGTGTTGTCGTGCGGCATTGATTTCTTCGCGCTTGATGCTGGATTGCAGGGCGGCCATTAGATCATTCTGATCTGGACATGCTAAAACGTATAAGTACGAGACACCAACTATAGCAAACTAGTTTGACATACTCGGTGGGAGGCACAGTTCTGGATGCTCCAGATTAAAGTTGATAATCTCAGCCAATGAATGCATCTTGGTCACCTTAAAATCGCGGATGAACTCTGATAAGCAATCTTTGAATTCAGCGTCTGTAGGACGTCAGCATGTTGGTACTAGTACAAAGTTCATGACAACGTACAGACAACTGGCTCGAAGCAGTTCTTGCCATCGATGGTCAAGCTCATTGGATTGGGTAATTCGACCGGGTAGACAACATCGACGCCCATCTCGATCATGCTCTGAACAATCATGTCGTACTTCTGGGTCTACCTCGTGTCAGCATCAGAGATTCCAACAACATACTGATCCCTGCAGCAAAGATTTGAATGCGCATATAGCATGTGACTTTATAGAATGATGTCAGCGCATCTTCGCAAACTTACCATAAATCTCTCAGCGTCAGCATTAATGCGCCCATTCTTGCGCCATGACTTCCAGATTGACGGCTCACAGATGCCGATTCGAAGCGTACCAAAATCTGGCTTGATCTTGAACGATCTATGTGGACTCGGGACATTCTCTTCTCTGTTGGTGGGCACCATCAAGGCGTCCATAAGCGCCACAAGGTCCTTTGCAGATTTGGCCTATTACATAAGTTAGTGCGTCCAATACGAGCTGACAAACATCCAGCTTACCATGCCACCAACTGAATCAAATGTCTTGCTCAGGTTGAAGATTCCGTCCATCGGAACCTCTCCAACTGTAGGTTTCAATGCGTAGAGGGCCGCGCGGTTTGCTGGCGTAATAAGTGATCCGATAGTATCCGTGCCAATCGCTAGCGTACTAAAGCCTGATGCTACAGCCACGGCTGATCCTGTTGAGGAACCTCCAGGAGCTGACAGTTCCCAATGTAGTTTTCGTTTTGCGATGTGTCTTGAAACATATGGTGACTGACACTGTCCGCCGACTGCTGACCATCCTGGAGGCATTGAAGGATTCTTAAGACCACAGAATTCTGTAAGGTTCGATTTTCCAATGATAATCATCCCTCGCTTGATCAGACGGTCGACAACGGTCGCGCTCTTCTTAGGTATGCAGCCTACAAAAGCATAGGAGCCTGACAAAAACATAAGTCCTACTGATGGCATCCAGGTTGGTTATTCACACATACCGACTGTCGTATCCATTCCCAGCGTCTCATCCGTCATGATGTTATCCTTGATTACTATTGGAATGCCATGAAGTGGGCCTCTTATCTTGCCTCTTGCTCGTTCATCGTCCAGCTTGCGTGCTATCCTCAATAGTTCATGTTTTGGGGCAACAGAAATCAATGCTCTTAATTGTCTGCCTCTTCGGTTGTGTAATGCAATCTCTTTCAGGTACAGTTGTACTATTTGCACACTTGTAATTGCTCGTGCATTCAGAAGTTCGGACAGTTCAAAGGCCGTGACTGTGAGCGGATCGAAGTCTGGAAGCCATGTGTCGTCTGCCGAGGAAGTGAATGATGCCTTGGGCGACGAATTATTCTTGTCGACTACCTCCTGCGGCGCGGAACTTCCAATGCTAGGTGCAAGCGCAGTCTTGAGAAACTTGAAGACTCTTGGCATGTTTCGTTGAGCCCCGACACTTCGGTCGACGTCACGTGGGATGTGCTCTGTGGAATCTGAATATCGAAATGCCAATGTCAATGTCAATGTTGGACGCTGGGCGCAAGGGCTAAATATCGCCAACGAGGTGAGGGGCGTGTTTGCGATACGGGCCTAGCAAGCCCAAGGAAAAGCGAGGAGAGGGCCAAAAGTGTTTGCAAGGGACATGGGCTCCGCAACGTTATGTACATTCGCCGTGACCTTATTCAGGCTCTTGGAGGGCTGCCAGTGGCTGCGACGATGATCCTTCGACCCTGACTCGACCACGTAAACGGTGGCCCTCGGACATGTGGACGGTGGCGTCGATAGGCTGCATCCAACAGTAGGGATGGTGGTTAGCCGGTCGCCAATCGAGGAAAAGCATTCCGTTATTTGATGCTCTCCACTGCTCTGATTCGGGGAGCCGCCCCATCAAAAGCAGCTGGTGCATGATCATCTTCACACTGCACATGCACTTTACCCGGGACGCAGGACCGCACAAAGTTGCCGGCCGGTTGACATCTCGCCTACGGTGAGATGGGCTTCACTCTGTTTTCCGTCCAACCCGCTGAGTATTGGCGGAACGGCGCCATTCTAAGGCGTAGACCGAGTCGTCCCCAAACGGGACCTTACCGGACGTCGTTCAGGTTTGAAAACAGCAACCGAGCCTTTAGGTTTAGGTTTGGATCACGGCGGTTTGAGCATAACCAACATGTTATCGCAACTCGCACAAGTCTGCCAACGCTATAAGCAGGGTTCCATGCTCCTGCGTCCGAGTGGCACAGCATATTCAGCACCATCGATTTGGTGCATGGCAACTTGGCGGCTACATCTATCCACCCGGAGCGGTGGAGTGCAATACTGCACCCCGGTCTCGCTTCCAACTGTGAGTCGTCTTACCCAATGCGATATGGTAGTACATTGCGGGGGATCGGCTCTCGGTATGCCAATCCCAATTCCACCGCAGACATCTCAGCCAGGACCTGGACGGCGGTACTTGATACGAGTCGATGCATGTATACAGAATCTCCACGCAAGCTGTGCGACTCCGGTAACTGATCGTCGGTACAAGGTTGATAGAAGTCGGTCGGTGTCGTGCCATGGTTCTCGAACAGCTCCCTTCCTGGCGCGCATGCACACCCGCTGGTCAGGCGGCACGGAGGCCAGGGGCAGGGCCTCTGGTTTACGGCTAGTGTCTTAAGGCTGCTGTTATTCGCTCTGATGCCTTGATGTAGAGTAGAGTGAGTGCCGTATTTGACCCCACACTTTGCAATATCGTCGCCACGCTGGATAGATTGCGCGCGGGGTTGGTATGAAGGCCTCTCTGATCAAGTGACGCACAGTAGCCGCACATTCGCGATTTGCACCAGGGTTGGCCCACTGCCGTGACCCATGTCAAAAGCCGATGCAGGCAGAATCCGGGCTGAGAGACTCAACAATCGGTGGCTCACGGTCTAGAACTGGCGTGATGCTGTTGTTTTGCTGCACGCCCGGAAAGTGCCATGAGGTGGCTGGCTAAAGTCGAGAGGGGACCAAACATGAAGCTCGAGAAACCACCGTAGAGCAAACGTCGACTGCTGTAAGTAGAACCGGTCTTGGCGTCCCCTCGGCCGTTACGTACCTGCACAAAGATCACCAGCACCATCCTAGAACGAAAAAAACTGCGCGTTGCACAGCAAGGGTAAAAATGGCTTAGAAAACTCTCCTATAGGCTGCAGTGTACATTATGCCGTGTGGTATCGTGCAGTGGTGTCCGTGGCCAGCACACAAATAACCATACTATCCCATGGCTTCTCTCAACTCTCACTACAAACCAAACCAATCTCTAGAACGTCGTCGTGGCTAGCCTACTGGCTGCATTCTTCGCATCAATCCGATCGTCGTCCTCTTCCACTCCTGTCTGGCTTCCCGCTTTGCTAGTAGCCCGCTTTCTGCCGTGTATTGTCTCTTCGTCGTTTTCGTCGGTCTCAGGAAGTGGAGCGACAAAACTACCGCTCATACTGCGATTGAGCCCATCACCGGGTCGTCGCGGCACGCCCGACCATGCATCGCCCTTAGGTCCTTGAGAGCTTGCCATAGGAACCCGGCGCTGTGGTGGATGCGCTTCACGTCCAAGTCGAGAAAGACCGCCGCTGCCATCAATGGCCCTAATGTCCGGTCGTACAGATTCCAGAGTAGCAAGGGTACGGCGTTCGGCTTCAATCTGGCGCACTACGTATTCTCGAATCGCTTGTCGCATGTCCTGCGTAGTCCGATCGAACCACTTCCGCTGTTCTTGAAGAAGATTAGCAGTGACACGTTGTGCTTTTTGCATCAGGGATTGCTCATGGCTTCTAGCCTCGTCTAGAGCAGCAATAGCTTCATCGACCTTTTCCCGTTTCACGCTTGAGCTGGCCTTCAGCCGATCGGCCGCTGACAATTTGGACTTGGTCGCTGATTGTGCTTGGAGCAGTTCGCGAAGGATGATGTGGCGATTTGTCAGAGTTTCTTTCGCGATAAAGGCATCGCTGCTGTGGTACTGGAGTGGATCACCCAGAGTGGTAGCTTCTGCGGTACCCTGAGCCGCATGAAAATCACCAGTAGCCTGTATAATTTTCCCGAGCTTCTTATACGCGTTGGCCAGACCAACATGCGTTTCTTGAACCTGTAGTGCGGCAAACTTGGCGCCCAGGTCAGATTCAGCGACCCCGAGGTCTAAAACAAATTAGTCTTGTGTTCTCTATGACATATGCTGACCACTCACTCCTTCGGTGCTTTACAACCTTCTCCAACTTCTGCTCAGCCTCCATTGTACCGAGGTAGAAGGCTTTAACCACTGGCCGTGCCGCAGCGAGTTCTGGCGTGTCATCCGGTGGCGGCGCAAACTGCTTGATCATCTTACGGCGCACTCCAGTAGCAGGTTGCTTCCTCCGCACCACGGGGCTATAACCAAAGTCGCTCTCTACGAAGAAGACCATTTCCTCATCACGTATGAGTATCTCATTGCTGCACACAATGTTGAGCCACCGCTGGATTGATATCTTGAGTCGTGCCTCATCTTCATCGGTTCCAGCGCCTGCCGATGTAGTCGCCGGTGGTACTGCAGGCACAATAGCCTCCGGACATGCGGAAATGAGATGCTCGCCGAGTTTCACGAATTCAGAGTGTAGACGTCGGACATCGCGGAATTGAGTAGTGCGAAACTTGGGAAGGTTCGTCTGAATGTAGAAGTTAGCAAGAGGCCACCGTTATGGATGCCATTCGCAAGTGGAGTGGGCAGATATGGGGGTAGCTTTGCAGCCAGACAGCAATGCGCTGAGAGCACCAATGCCACCTTGACCCAATGCTCAATGTCCAGCACACTGCGAAGGCATGCTTCTGCCATGTTGAACTCGTATAGACGTACGTAAACATCGAATCGCAGTATGGGGTCCTTCTTTCCGTTGCGCTCAAGACCTGTAACTTTGGCCTGTAGCCTATACTGCTGCTGTTGCTGCTGCTGTCGCTGTGGTCTCGTGCCATGGTACCTTTGTGGCTGCTGTCCCTGTTGGCCCTGTTGCTGCGGCTGAGGTGATCGAGGCGCGTCCTGACCGTGCGCCTGCTGTTGCTGCGATTGATCGCCATTCTCAGGCGCCGTACCCGGCCGGCTTTGCGCATCCTGCTCGCCCAGGTAGCCGTACTGCTCACTGTTCTCGCCATATGGGGAAGCCTGCGCAGGCAGCGGGGATGACGGAATATCGTTAGTCGGAGGCTGGCCAAAAGACGATCGGTTCGCCTGAGGCGACGAAGCCCAAGGATCGTCGCCCGCGGGGTGGTCGGGATCGTGAGCGCTGTAATCCATGGTTGTGGGGGAGTGAATTGAAGCTATCAACGGCTGCGACTAGCTGGAGAGTGATGCGATGATGTCGCTCCAACACCCTGCCTTGCCCTTAGCCCGGCTAGGAAAGGCGCGAACCATGCCATCTTTTGCGTCACGTGCATTTTCTACACACACCATCTTTCGCATCACCATCGCATTGCGCAGTCTTTGGCATGATAACCGGCTGGATATGGTGTGCCCGCCGAGTCGTTCGGCACAATGTGAAGACTCCTCGGCGGTTGCTGTCGACGCAGACGCCTCAACATGATCTACTTTCCAAAGTAACCCGCAATATCGGCATCATTGCTCACATTGATGCGGTAGGTCGTATGCTTCCTTTGTAAAGCTGAAGAGGTTCTGATTAATATCTAGGGGAAAACGACTACAACTGAACGTATGCTCTACTATAGTGGTGTTACCCGTAGAATAGGAAGTATGTACGAATTCATTTTACCTTTATCGCGCAGTGTTTTCCAAATATCTCGGCTCCCTTGTATCGCTTGTAAAACAGAAAGACCGGCCTTGAAAAACACTAATCATTTCTAGATGTCGATGAAGGGTCAACAGTAACTGACTTCCTTCCCGCTGAGCGAGCACGAGGCATCACCATCCAATCTGCAGCTATAACTTTCCACTGGCCTCCACTACCATCAAGTAACCAAACATCACCGTCTCTACCGCAGCTGCCAGTATCTTTTGATAATGTCTTGAGATCTTCTACTTCTCACAACATCAACCTCATTGATACCCCGGGTCACGCTGATTTTACATTCGAGGTACTCCGTTCGCTGCGTGTCTTGGATGGCGCGGTATGTATTCTGGACGGGGTAGCAGGAGTCGAAGCCCAAACAGAAAAGGTGTGGACGCAAGCCGGACATTACCACATTCCCAGGATCATCTTCGTCAACAAGCTGGACCGCGTAGGTGCTGCCTTTTCAAGAACAGTCAAAGAGATTGGTTCCAGACTGCGCGGATGGCCTGCAGTTTGCCAAATTCCCTGGTGGCAGGGAGGCAATGGTGATTTTGTTGGGGTTGGAGATGTTATCAATCTCCGTGGCATGCTTTGGAAGGCAGGCGGAGATGGAAGAGATATCAAGGCCGTTGACCTTGCAGATTTGGAAAAGACTGACAAGGATTTTGCTGCAGAGATTAAAAAGGCCCGGATAGCTCTCGTCGAGACGTTGAGCGAGCATGACGACGTCATGGTTGAGCACTTTCTAGAAAACGATGAAGACCATCTCGCCATTTCGGGTATCCAAATCACGCAGTCTCTTCGTCGAGTGGTTTTACAAGCTCCCCAATCGGTTATACCAGTGTTTGCCGGGGCATCATTCCGCAACATTGGTGTTCAGCCG